ATTGTTCACTAACCCAATTTGTCGCAGTGTTAACAAACCGTTGAAATGATCAACGAAATTTAAATTAAATCGTCGTAAATCAGCCAATAAACGACCGCGGGTAACAGTTGGGTGGAAAAAAAATTAACCGTGGGCGCATTTTTGTCTTTAATGTTTATAAACATATATGTAAATTTAACGGTAAAATTTGATCTAAGCAATTGCGAACATTTATTAGAAGTATTAAAATATTTTATAACGAGTTTTATTTATTGCCTGCAACTGTAAAAATGCGCTTAAAAATACGGTGAATATTGCTACAAGAAAAATCATTGAATAGATGGGAGTCTATGTATAATAATTTGACTTTTGAACTGCGTACAGAAATGAAGTATTTCTTTATATATGCTAATGAGTATTAAAATATAAAATTGTCATACTCGTGAAATAAAAGTATATTTTATTCTTTGTAACTTATTACTAAGGTCCCGGGATTTTCGTGATAGGATTTTTTACGGGACTTCGGGATCCTGGGATTTTCAGCAATAATGGATTATAATCCATATATATATATATATTAACATATTTCCTGTGTCCCAGAAAGTCCACTAAATTTTTTTAGTTTTTGGACAAAAAATAAAACATGTAAATATGAAATAATAACAATTTATTATACTACAACATAATTTAAAAAAAAAGCCAGGAATTTACTAAAATTGCACAGTCCTCTCTTTGTACTCCAAAATAAAATATAAATACATGCCATAGGGTCAACGGTCTTCAAACATATCTGGGGATACAAACGTTTTGTAAGTAAAAAAACATTATCATAGCAAACTTCCCTTTAAATTTTGTTAAACCCACGCTATATAAAAGCACACTTAACCTTACAATTAGGAACCTCTATCGAATTAACTATCATCAACCGACTAAACGCGGTTAGAAGACAAAGGGCCTTGCAGGGTACCGATTTTAATCGAAAGAAGGCAAAAATTAGCGAATTAGAAGAATAACATTTATATTTAAGTTGAATTGAATAAAAAAATACTTAATTGTTTTAATTTGATTAAAAACTTTCTGTACTCAAATATTCAACAAATATTTTTGAGTTAGATTAACACTTGTTTAGGAGTTATTTATACCAATGTATTATTAAAATTAACATAATCTTAAAACATTTTAGGCGATTTAAAAATATAATTGTAATTTTTCGAAAATTGTTTAGCAGTATTTTAAATGTTTAAAAAACCTATTAAGCACTGAACGTAATTTGTATTGTTAAACCCTTGTTCGGTAAAAATTATTTTTTTTATTAAAGAATCACATTTTTTTTAATTTGTGTCACAGTGCAGAGCAAAAGTATCTCGACAATGGCTTTCGCTCTATTTCTAGACATTCAGGGAACTTTGCCAATATTGCTTGAATACTTTCGAATGCAAATAATTTTAACGTGTTACATTGCGAAATTAAGAACTGTCTGTTTATAACTCTTCTAATTAAATAGCTTTAATAAATTTCGGTTGAATGTCTTTGATTTTACCGGCACATGATGATTTGAGTCCCATTAACAATGATGATAATTAAAAAGTAAGAACATTACCAAACAGCGGGCAATTTTCTTATTCCACACCACCAGTTCGACTAGTTTTAAGATTGAAAAATGCATATCCTGTACAATGAGGAAGACGTAAAAGTGTTTTAAGAAATTAGTTTCCTTGAAAGGTAAAACTGGTCGAGATACAAACAATGTCAATAAATATATGCTTATTAATCGAGATAATGACGAAATTGATGCAAATTCGATACCATATCGAGCTGAAAACTGGCTTAACAAGGCTTAATAAATATAGGATTAATAATTACTAAATATGGTAGCAATTTTTTTTCAATATTTTTATTTACACAGTGTGGTTTTCACTTATGAAAGAAACGAAAGACTGAGCTTATATACTGTCCACCTAAGTCAACCGAGGCGAGATGTACGAACATCACGTGATTGCCGCAATCGGTACATATATGTACAAAAGTACTACTACTAGTATACTATGCATTTTACATAACATACTAGTATACTATGCATTTTACATAACATTAAATCAAATCAAATTTGTTTGTAAAACTAAGATGCTTTTTATTAGAAACTGTCAAACTGTTTAGTAAAATTACATGTATACATATATATACCTATAGGATTCTAAAATTACAACTTATCTTAGTAGATTTCCCAACATGTCTTGGACATGTCAAATTGTATTATAATTTTGTATTGGTATACACTGATTTGTAATTTTACTCTTCCTCTGTTTTGCAAAACAATTGTAATTTTCCAAAAAAGTTTAACAGTGTACATGATTAAAATTATATGTAGTAAAATTGCAAATAGAAGTTGTATACAATAAATAGTGATTTGTATATTTCCAAAATTGGAATAAAATACAACATTTTGTAATTTTACAAACATTTTTAACAGCGGAACATGTTTCAATAAAAATAAAATTTAAATAATGCAAAAAAATGTAACCAATGCAAACGGGAAATTATAATCATAATTTTATAATTTTTTTATATATTTTTTGTATATAAGATTTTAAATAAAAAACTAAAACTAAATGCCTACACATATTACAAAAACTTAATTAACAATGCTTGGATGTTTTTATTTTTATTTCACAGTCCATATAAGCCCAAAGTGTAGAATGTCTAAGTGAAAAACAACTCGTAATCTCAATGAACAAATTTTAAAGTAAAACGTGTGAACCAATAGCCCACGGACACACTTAAATTTCTTAAAGATTTACTTTCGTGATGGTACTAATTGCTATATGCACAAAGAATAGTTATTATTTGTATTTTCGACGTCAAACACTGCATTTTAAAGAAACCACGACGTTACGGCGTTTGGGGGGCCCAACTTGGCCGCCGAGAAGTCCCGATTTAACATCCTGAGACAATTCAACGACTTAAGGGGAAAATTGGGACAACAAATTTAAACTAAGCTTTGTGCATACGGCTATATTATGTTATTTATGTTGTTTTAAATGTCAGTGACGTTAATTAAAATGAAAGTTTTGCTGTTATTTGCAATAATATACAAAAATTCTTAAGAAAACTTAATTTTAAAATTTATTCCAAAGTCAACTTTTTATAATAAAGTCCTAAATGTCAAGATTAAACGTTCAGTTTTTCAAAGGTATATTACATATTTATTAAAATTGATCAAATTAAAAGAAAGTGAACCAAATTCAAGAGCACTGCTTATGAATATTCAAAAAGTACACAGAAATTCTACCACAATGTACAATGTACATATTTACCACGCCTTATTCGTAGCTAGACGTTATAGTAATTATAATTTTTTTTCTTCAATAATTTCTCTTCCTATATAGAGGAAGCAGGTCAATGTATTGATACTTCTTGTTGAATTTTAAATTAATCTTTTATAAGATGTTAATTACTTATGTTATAATAATAATAATTATTTTTCCTTCAAAACATCTTAAAATGTTTGTCGTAGATAAAAAAGTCCAATGGTGTCGGTTCTGGATATCTGGGAGGCCATTCTATTGGTTATTTTCTACCAATTCACTGTTCTGGATCATTCTGAACCAGTTAACAGTTACTATAAAATAAGTTGGTGCCAAATCTTGTTGAAAATGTAACAAATTTTCATCCAAACCTACACTGAAAAAAATAATCTCTTAAAAGAGGTGAAAATAACTTTGATCACTTTTTAAGAAAGAAAATTTGTCTTGCTACTATTGACCTAACCACATTTTATTTTGATTTTAGAGCAAATATCTCTTGTTCAAATAGTATGTATTGCTTTATTCAAAAGCTTCTGATCTTCACTGAAACTACCAGTATTTAAGCTTAAATTCCCTTCACCACATAGGATTATTAAAACATGCATTTAACAATCAAAATCAAGGACCTTCGTGATGAGGAGATTGACTGAAAAAAAGGTTTACAAAAAAAATATTTAAATAAAATAAGACATTTATTGTTTCATATCAACAAAACCGCAAGTTTTTTTATACTAACACTAATAAAGTATCATAAATATGATTTAACATAACATTTTTATTTCATATTTTAATTAATACCTTACCTTTAAAAACATCAAACAAATTAATTAAATTTAATTTATTTAAAAATAGTTTTAATGATTCCAACTCCACTGTGAAAGTACATACAACACGCCACAACAAATGTATATTAGAAATACCTATTATAGAATTATAATATTATATCACTGCCCCTAGAAAATGGCAAATTGCAAGTTGCAAATATACAAAACGTACTAAACACGTGTGCCGCAAACGGTGTATCAGAAGCTACCAGATTTTGTTGTAAAATTGACATGCTATTGGGATAATTGGGATGTATCTTGAATGAATTGCGTAAATATAAATAATTTTCATAGTTTTTGAACAAAAACACTTTGTTTTCAAGAGAACTATACTTCTTCCATGGAAAAAAGTTCTTAGTGCACTAAGAACTTTTTTCTTCAAGCAATAAATACTCTTTCATGCTAAAATATTGTTTCTTGCCGCTAATATTTTTTTATCAAGAGAGTTGAATACTTTAGTTTATAACGAGAAATTAGAATAAATAATTGTTAAAACTATTTTGCGTATTTTTCAGAAATACAGCCCTAATTAACATTGCTTGTTTTTAAATGGAAACTCTATTGTATTGTTTTGTTAGTATTTATATAGACATTCCTAGGCACAAGTGTGGATAATGCTATTGAAATTTAAACACAGAAATACAATTAATTCTGCATTATAGAGATTCTAGATAGAATTCCTGCCGGCATTTTGCAGGTGAGGCAGCTGGGAAACAATATGACTTTCATGGTGGATATCTTTTCTTAATAGGCAACAATTATTGAGTAATTTTGCCTTTATTAGCGCGCATAATTAGCATTTAAATTGCCTCACTACCTTTCTTTTCTTGTGTTGTTTAGATTTATTCGAAGATTTGTTAAATTTTATTGAATTTTTTTTATTTTTTTGCAGGAAGACTCCATATCCTCATAATGAGACTGTCTTGCATATGTTTGGAACATAGGCAGGACAGCAGGAAAGACCCGTAGTCACTTGGAGAGAAACCTAAAGGAAACGTAAAAAAATAATCCTGCTGTCAAGTAGTAAGATGGCCACAACGGCTCGCAGGAGAGATCCAGAAGATGACATTGCAGCGATTGCAAAGCAAATTTCAGATCAGGCCGAGGCGATCTATCAAAATTGGAAATCTAGGGGGCTGGCCCCTGCCGAACTGATCACGTGCCATGCAGCAGGAGACACTGCTAAACTAGGGTGAGAGATTTTGTGATTTTGTTTTTTTATGTCCCCCTATGGTGTTACCCAGTGATATTTAATAAAACTAAATGAGTTTGACCTACACTTTTATTGTGTTTTGATCTTTCATAACTAAGTAGATATTACATCTCAGGTTCCAGATTTTTAACCGCAATTAATTAATTTTTTCAATGTTTAAAAGTCTAAAACCTATCCTCCGTGACTGTTGCTCTTTCTAGGTTAACCTATATGTTTTCAAATATCTGATGTAGTAAAAGCATACTAAAAATATCGGTTCACTTAGTAAATTAAACACATCCAAAGCAATCGAATCAAATATTAAATATTATTAAAAATTAAAAGAAATAACTTTTATAACCATTTATGTAGGTGTTACAAAAATTGATTCTATCCTCCGTGAATTTGTTTTTTTTTAAATTTTATGCAACGGGTAGCGCTTTAATCATTTTAAATAAGCAAAAACCTCTGTTTACGACATTATATATGCCTGTGATTCCTGAAGGTCGGTTAGAATTTATATGCAGATGAGAGTGTTGCTGTTTTATAATTCAAAAGTTTAAGTTCATTAATTTGCTATTTAAAAACCTATCCACCGTGAAGTGAAATATCTCGGTAGGTAGATTTTTTTTATAAATATTTTATGTATGTTTAATTGTATTTTTTAAAAATATTGAGGTGTTAAAAGATACAATAACTTATTTCAAATATACAAAGGGATGTTTAAAAAAACATACGAAATACTAACCTCCGTGAAGCTATCTTCCGTGAAGCTCTAATATTCAAAATGTATGATTTCTTAAAATTCTTGCATTAGTGCAGAACCACTTATGTTATGTTATTACTAGACCTGGTGGCTTCCCAAAAACCCCATTCTAGACTAACAGTGAAACAACCAAAAATAAAAAATAATCATTTTCACTTGTCCCATCTCAATATATTCACCCAAATAACAAAAAGAAAAAAGTTAACGAGGTAGGATCAATGAAAAGCCGGTATTAGTGATTCCTGCATCTCCATCAGACAATCCAGAAATAGACCGGCTTTTTTGTACTATCGTCACAAGCGATCCCATACACACGTAGCCCACTTGTTTTATTTCGGGCATCGCACGCAACATAGAAAAACGAATCTTGCGCTGCCCCTTTTCCGCGTGCTAAAACTCTCAAAAATCAAAATTGTCCCCCAAACGCGCCAGATTTAACCCCTGTACGCTCGAACATGACGGTTTTTCGTTCAGTGATCGGTGTGTGAGTGTTAAAAAATGTTCAGTGCGGCGGTGTGTACTTTTGACGTTTTTAGGTTATGTCCGAGTGAGGTAAGACCGTCTTCAACGTTGCCCGATTGTGCACACCGTACTGCCAAAATACTATTAATATTGCGTTTAATATACTGAAGTTAAATTTCTTTATCTTTTCTGGAAAGGTTCTAGTAAAAGCTAAATAATTTATTGGATGATATTTTCTAGAATTACCATTATCGTAAACTCTGTGTTTTTATGTACGCTGGCAACGCTGTTATTCTGGAGTTTTCTTTATGTTCAGTGCTACCAATAAAGAAAACACTTAATTTTATTAATATTTTTTACGAATTTATGTTTCAAATAATGTCAGTGATATGCAAAATATGTAATTAATTTATATAATGTATTGCATTTTTATTTATTTGTTATTTAATTCGTAGACATATTAAAATAACTATAATTATTGTAATAAGTACACATTTTTAATGAGAAACTGTACATTTCCTATGAATTTTTATAACCACACATTTTATGGTTTTCTGCGACATTTCATTATTTTATGTATTTATGAATATTTATATTTTTACTTTTAATATTTAATATTATTATTATTATTAATACATTATGATTAAAAAAACACAAAATAATGATTCTGTCCGGCGCCGGACATAAATGTGTCCGGCGCCGGACACGTGTAAAAATACTTCACCGTTTTAATATCATCATTCTTACAAAATTTTATCAAAATCCAGAACGTTTGAATCCGGACACACATAATAAACATACATTCATTTCAGCTCGATGTTGAAGCCTCAATCGCCGGGCAAGCCGTCGATCGAGCTGCTCGCCCAGGATCCCAACATGGACAATAACCGCCTCGAGAAGCTCGTCAAAAATTTCGTGCACGAGGACAAGCAGCGCTTGGCGGCCGCGAGGGGCGGCGCCAATCCCGCGGTGACGGCGGCGGCGACCGCCCAGAAAGCCATGCCCTCGAGCATACAGTTCGCCCTGCAAAAGTTCGAACAGAATTCGGTCTCGCAGACCGACGGCGCACCCAAGAAACCCGTGCACGCGGTCATGAAGAAGTCCCCGACCTACGGGGACAATTATGCACATAGCAACGGTGTACAGGTGAGAATTTTAAGTTTTGTCCGGACCGGACACCATTTTGTCCGGCCGGACACTGCGGTGTCCGGTTCCGGACACCGCATCAAACGCTTTATTTCTTTGATTTTGACGTGCTAACAAAATTTTGTCGAAATCGAACGATTTTAAATCCGGACACTCCCTCGATAAAGCATGATTCAGTAAAATTACTCTTATTGAATGTATCCTGGCTTTCAATTATCCTTAATGTGGTGAAAAACGGTCTTATCGTCCTTGCAAGGTCTAATTTAAAGAGTTCTTATGGATATTTTGCATGGTTTGCTACAGTTTGTGGGTCATTAATTTTAATGTAACGATCGAGTACTTAGTTTAATCACGTTGGCAAGGCCGAGGCTTAATTCGGTTTGCAAGAGATTTATTATGTAGAGGAGAATCACAATCGAATATTTACTCGGTTTAAATTTGAGTGTAATGAAGCGAGGATTAAAGTATGAATTTTTAAGAGTGTCGCGTGATGTAAGATGTCTATAAATAGTTTTAATTTGAATAAAAACATTAATGTACAAAAGGTGGGTAAACATGAAATCTGCGTGATGTAGTTTGTGCTTTATTATGAATTGTTATATTGTTTTTTTCATAATAACAAATGGGGAAAGTAAAAACCCTGTTGAAATTTGATACAAGATAAAAAAATGTCGAAACATACCAAATGATTAAATTTTAAATTAGGCAATAATTTCTAAGCAGCTGTACCATTACTATTACCTTTACACGTGTTTGACTCCACCTAAGAAATAGATACGATATAAGCACTAAATTTGGACTTAACAAGTTTAACAAACTCAAATTAAAAGTTCAAATATAGAACACGTAATTTTAAAACCATTGTTCAAACCGATTTATTTAATTTAATAATTGCAATTTGGAGGCCCCTTATGGGAAAGAATATACAATACCTAATATGTTTAAACAATGATATAAAAAATAAAATAATGTTATTATGATACACGGAGAAAAAATACATTTAAAAATGAAACCCTGTAATACATAAATGTATTAGCTAAAAGCACATCAATGTATTAGCTAAAAGCACTTCTGCTTTTATTTTAGGTGCTTGATAAAATCTCTGTGTGAATGTTGATGTGCAGTGCCTGTCAGATTTTAATGAGACGCGTAGAAAAATGCGGCAGTATGCAGTAAAATGTTGCCAAATTGGCATGCTTGGGTTGGTCGGTCCAACCCATATATCGTCGACTAGAAATTTACGTGGATTTCGGTAATTGATGATTTAGCTACGTGAGCAAAATTTAAACAGCACAAACGAGTTTAAAACACATTTCTGAAAACTTTCAAAATGAACGCAGAGGAAGTTTGAATGTGCACAAAATAACAACCTTTCATTAAAAAACAAAATAAAAAATTAAATTTACCAAAAAACTGTTAAAAAAGTTTAAAAGATAAAATCAACGGTTAGATTAACTAAAAACAATTTAAAAAAAAACTACTTACTGTACTGGTGCGTTAAATTAGTAAAAAGTGAGGTTAAAATGGTTTGACAGATGTCAGATAAAATGTCAAATATAATTGAGAGTTTTATAACTTCTCAAGATCACTTATTTATTAAAATATTTATTAAATTATTAAAATAAGTTTATTTTGCACTTTTAATTTTGACACAAACGGCGCCTCATACCCTAAAATCGCTTTTTATTGATTAAATCTAGATACATTGGTAAAACTAAAAGAACAAAGTTCTTGTTATAAATCACAGACATTCTTGTAGATTTTAAGTTGACCCACTACCAAAATTCTTTGTAAAAAAATCCCTTTGTCAAGCGATAAATTTGGCTCGTATCCAGCCGTTTTATCTCGAAACCAGATTACAAAAAATGCTTTAATATGCAGCTGATACGATTAATTAGTCGCAAAATGTCGATTTATGCCGCAAAATTGTCATTTTCTGAACTCATTTCATTCGCTTTTTATGGCATGAAATCACTGCCATAGATCAAACGTGTTTATTTACACGCCTCAGTAGAGTTTGTTGTCTAAATCTATCTCGACCTAAATAAGCAACGTTTAACACATTTAAATCGGCGGTGGCCGTCGGTACCACGACGCCGCGACGCCTATATACAAGGTGTCTCGAAAAGTTGTTGATATATTCACCAGGAAAGTGCGTACCAGCAACTATGTGGTTCGCTGCCGATTTTTTATATTTTTTAAACGTGATTTTATAGACAATTTATTTTTGAATAAAAGTTGTCTTTTGATTTTTTTTCCAATTTGGCCTCGTTAAAAAGATATTTGATATTTTACTAGGTAGTGCAGGTTAATTTCAATAATATTGAACTTCTTCTCACCTGTTTTTAAAACAACCTGTATAATGGTGATTAAAATCGCGATTTTTTCAAAGTATCGCGTAGATAAACTGTTATTAAACACTTTAAAGTTATCAAACACGAAATAACTTGTTAATGTCCCAGGAACACGAATCCGATTTATATCGAACAATTCTGAATGTTTTGTTCGACAGTGCAACGTAGTGGTATCGTTTACTTGAACTAATCTTTCTTGCCGTAATTTGGACGTTTATTGATAACTAAGGTTGCAAAAGCTATTTTTAGTGTTATAAAATCTTCTTAACAGCAACATGCATTTTCTTATCATAATACACTCTTCATTATTAGTGCAGTATTGTGAAGCAAAGTTCATTAATGAACCCGATTTTTTCCATGTTTAAGACCGTCTTTGTCTGGTATGCTTGCTGGCTACAGGTAAAACTATTGTTATATTAAACCATTTAACAAAAAATACGTTAACAAACTTTACAATGATTATATACAAACATTTTTTATTGCGGATTCTGGCACTTGTCTGTATTTAGATAACAATTTTAATAAACATACTTTAATAAATTAATGTTTTTAAAATTACAATACAAAACAAAATATTGTCCATGTCAAATAACCTTAAAAACATAAATGTCCGGATCCGGACACGACTGTCCGGATTTGCAAGTAACATTGTTTTCAGCCGGACATTCAAATTCTTGAGTTTTCGATCATTTACAATATGCCAACTCATCTCATCTTAACTCAAATAATCTTGTCCGGAAGCGGACACTCATCGCCAATCGTTGTGTTGTTTCAGTCACACCTCCACAACAACCACACGACCACCACAAACAACTCGACGCCGACCGTCCGGGTGAAACCGGTCATCGGACAAAAACCGCAAATATCGCCGAAACCGCGCCTCATTTCCGACACCATCGAGATGACGTTGCCGCCGGACGCGGGCGCCGGACTGCAGACGTGGCCGCTCAAAAACAGGGTGATCACCACGGACGCCGTCAAAAAGACGGCGGCCGAGGTCAAGCCGGACACCAACGGCGACACCGGACATCGCGCAGTCAATATTCACTACAACACATTACCGAGCAAACAGAATAATACCACCACCATTGATGAGGTAAAGAATATCTTACTCTGGTTCACATCGTTCAGTGTTTGTGTAAAACATTTAACAAAACAATTTCCATGCATCAAACTCCAAAAATAGCACTGTCCGGTGCCGGACACATCCATGTCCGGCTCCGGACACTGTTGTCCGGTGCCGGGCATTGTTGTCCGGTGCCGGACACACCCATGTCCGGCACCGGACAATAGTGTCCGGAGCCGGACATTCATTATTTTGTAATTTTTACATAATTTGGACCATTTGGTTTGAATTTGGGAAAGCGCAGTTGGCCGTATCCGGACATTTAATCTAGTCGAATACGAGATTTAATTTATTTGCAGGTAAACTTGGAGGAAGAACGCCTGATAAACGCCCTCAAAAACGGCGTGGTCGTCAACGAAATGGCGCCCGCGACGGCGAAATCGAAAGACGCGATGCCGGACAAAGAGGTGACCACCAAGTGGGGACTGCGTACAACGAGGCGTCCGGAGCAGTCGAGCGTGCCGCATCCGGAGTTGACGACGACTCAGAAGCAGCACTTGAAGCAAACGATCGCGAATCCTGTCCGGCCGTTTTTAACGCGCGGTTCCGTGGCCGAGAGGGTGCTGATTTTCGAGAGATGTCCGAGCGATTTGTTGCTGGATAAGAGGGTGCGAGCGCCTGTCAGTCAGCTCATCAAACCTCAGGTAAGATGCAATATTAAAAGTTGTCCGGATTCGTAGTTTATGTCGTCCGGACATTCATTTAATCGTTTAGGTTGGTAGTTAGTTGCAGATGAAGCTATAAATTATTTCATTATAAAAGGAATGAATTATTCAGGTGCTGTAATTTATAAGGAAAAAACGCCGCTTGAAATAGATTTATCGCAAATGATTTATTTACTTAATACTCAACAAAAGCATTTTAATTACAATTCTTATTAATTGCTGTACTTGACTTTATTACTTATTTATATACATTTGTTTAATATGTAGGCTAAAAAATTGACAAATTTATTTGTTTTCTTGACTATGAACAGGTCGCGAAAATATGTTGGAATAATTATAAAAACGTATGTAATTAAAAAAATAGTTTTGTTATTGGATCATTTACCGCCGTAACATTAAAGTTCATTTGTAAGTAGTAATTACCCACCTGTTTAAAAAAAATCCGCATGTAATAATAATTATAAAACCTACATATAAAGACAATTATCATTGCAATAGTTCATAAATCAGATTAAATATTTTAGTGTTAATAATGATTACAAAAAAATAGCTGCGATTTGCCACCCAAACAAAATCCAAGGCCAAGACAGCACCCACTTGGTCTTCTCATCTCTTTCCATTGAATAAATAAAATAGAGGTGTGCCTGCGTTATGTAACGTAACAGATTTGTCTTTCTCAGTTTAATATTTGGTGGAAAAAATTCTTTTCTTACGTATAGGGATAAAAAATCACAGAAAGTCCATTTAATTTATCACTTACCTACATTTTGGTATTTTAAAATGTTTATTTAAAAAAACAATATAAGTCGTCTGATGTACTTAAAGTTTTATAGAGCAAAATTCCGCGCATTTAAATCATTTTTCAGCAAAATTTTAATACATTTTTTATATGTTTTTTTTTTCAATTAAAGATAATCTCAAAATAAAACAAGTATTCTAAATGCTCCTACCAAAACAATTCGAATATTTTTTCGCCTGATTGAGCGAATATTTTGGCCCGTACCCAAAACCAATACACTGTAACATTACAACTTGTAGGAACGCAGCCAATTTTATTCGCTACTGAATATCATACTTTAAAATAACGTTTTATAATAATAAGTATTAAAAATACGGAATAAAATAAACATTATTAAAAATTCAAATTTATGATGTGGTTTGAGTAGTTTACTTTAGGAATTATGAAAATTTATTGTCAATAAACTTTATTGGAATGCAGCATGTCCTTCAGTTGAATAATTTGAGATACGACGCAAAAATTTTGCCATCATCTTTATTGACCCATTAAATTAAAATTATCATCAGTATAATCTTAATTTTCCTAATTTGCAACATAATTGTAACATTATACTTCTTATATTTTTTTATCTCCACGCGGTCTATAATTTAAACTTTATTGTTGTCAACATTCGATAAAGAAATACCTTGTTATGGCCTAGGCCGATAAAAAATTTTATGAGGCAAGTAATTAGTGCGATTTTTTCTCGCTAGGGGTATTGTTTTGACAAATTAATCCTTTTCTAAGAAGTTAACGTACTAAATTGGTTTAATTTATTTATAATAAGCACCAATTTGTTTGTTACTGTTACTGTTAATGTTTAATATTTTTCATTAAGTTATTGTAAAATTAAATATGAATAATAAAACAAAAAGTGAGGTTAGGCAACCAAGAAAACGCACGATTCTTTTTCTACGATTTAAATTATCTTTAAGGTTTAATTTGCTTTAAGTTTTCAGTGAAATTAAATGTTTAACACAGTTAAACATTCCAAATTACCTATTTTTTAAATAAAAATCCAAACAAATTGAAATTAGATACCTACCTATTTATTAAACAATTAATTGAATTCAATGTAATAGCAAAAATCCATTTCTACTTAAATCATGTTCCTAGGTATTGTCAAACTATTACTGCTTCTAAAAGCAATAATAATTATTGTACATTTAATGTAATCTTTAGCTAATAAATTAATGAGATTCTAAAAAAGTGAGGTTAGACCGCTTTGATGTTGAATTAAATTGACCTATATAAAGTGCTTTGAAGATAAAATGTTGTATGCCATTCGGCCAAGAAGTGCCTTTTTGTGCTTCGCTCAAATTCTAATGACATAAATAACTATTATTTGGAAATTTTAAATTTAAAATCGCGTAAATACACTTAACACACTTTTTTTATTATAGCCTATAGCTAAACAGCCAAACTTGCAACACACTACCCTACAAAGGCACGTAAAGGCCCACAGAAACGTAAACATACCAAGGTTCCACTTTCCATCCGGCAAACCCGGCGCGCCGAATCAACTGGAGCAGGTTCGGGTGCGCGTGGCGGCCGAGTTCGCCAAAATCGGCGAAAGGGCTTCCCGAGAGCATTTCGGTTCTATAGCGACGGCTTGTCAGATACCTTTGTACTGGAAAACTCCATTGTACTTGGCTGCTTGTGCGGATAAAAGTAGCTGCAGTATGGATCAGTATATGACGTTTTGGCAAAGGTGGGTTAAAGTTTTAAAGTTTAACCTAACTTAGGTGACATTTTTTGAAACACTTTTAGTATGGCTTCCTCATGCCACGACGGTGCGTCGAGGTTCGTGCATATCCTCACCAGGGGGCGTAGGAATTTTTTGGCCCCTGAAGATTTTATACCTTTGGTTCAGGATGTCGTCGAAACCCATCCTGGTTTGACTTTCTTGAAGGAAGCTACAGAATTTCATTCAAGGTAAGAACAGTATATAAAGTATTCTTTAAAATTTTACATAAAGAAAACAAAGGTATGAAACTGTTTTTATTGGAGTCCTTGGAAATTAACAAATTAAAAAAACTGATATTATTCTCAATGACCAAATAAAAACCAATAATTCCCCGCTATTAAACTTATTTTAATATATTCAAAAAGTATAGTGTTATCTCTGATAGCAAAATTTGATTTTAAGAAGATATGACCCGGATTAATGGAATATTCTTAGAACCTTCCATTATTGCTAAGAATGTTCTTAGGGACTTTTAAAACATTCAATAGATACCCTTTTAATAATGCAATTAGATTCTTAGAAGCTTCTTAAATCCTTCCTAAAAAGCATTCTAAGAACATTTTAAGAATACGTTTTTGGAATGTTCATAGGTTTCTTATGGAGCTCCTAGGAAGCTTTTGAGAATATTTTCAAATACCCACGTTCTAATATGTTGGATTCTAAATTCGTAAAATTCTTCAGGAGGCGACAAATACGCCTCACTGTCATAATATGACAGTGAAATGTATTTGTCGTCCCCTTAAAAAAATTTGCGACATATTAATATATATTTTTTAAAAATATTAAATAAACAATTTGACCTCTAAACCATAAGTTGTATGACATTATTTCATAAAAAGTAAAATTGGAAAATTTTGTGGGATAAGTCAGATTAGATTGAAGTTGAAGATAATTAGGATTATTATACATAAAAATGTTAATTCAGAAATAATAAATCGGTATACAAATTAATAAATATTTATTTTTAACATAAAATAAAATATAAAAAAACAAAATATTTCCTTATAAAATAATTCTTCATAAAAGAAAAAACCAAATAGTTCTTTATAACAAAAAACATTTTTCATTGTATTTAAGTTGGATAGAAGATTTTATGTAAAAGCCGGATACTTTAGAAAGTATTTTTGTTATTGAATATTGTTTTAATTTGACAAAGAACTATAAAAAAATATTTTGGGTTGTGTTTTTTACTTAGTATTTAATACTAAGTATATATATAGGTACCTTTATACGTAGATTATGGTATATTTTACTATTATATCGGTACCTAACTCAACTGAATATGCTTAACAGAATGTTCCAGGAATATTCCTAAATGAACTTTCTATAGCAATTACTTTCTCAACATTGTAAGCATATGTTTAGAGTGGATTAATTTTTACCACTAAACTTTGCACCTTCTAAAAACCTGCCTATAGGCCAGTGAGAATATTCTTAGGATTATGCTATATTTCTTTTAAGCATGTTCTTTAGAAGAAATATAGCATGATCCTAAGAAAATTCCCACTGAAAGGTTTAAAAAACATTCTTAGAATAAACTGTGCTATCAGGGATATAACTAAAATATTACAGGGCATTCCCATAATTATTGTTCCTTTATTGTATAACGCTAATTTAATCAACCCCCACTATTGTACTATAAATATTACCTGTAAAACCATAATTTATATCAATAGAAAATTAATATTAGTTTGTATACGATCTGAAGATGCTCTGTGTAGCGAAATAATTGTCATATTTAAATAAAATAGTGAAACTTTTAAACGGTGTAGTTTATACATATTAACATTATATCAACATGGAGTTTCATCAAGTAAAAGTCGAAACAATTAATTAATTCCAGATATGTTCACACTGTGATTGCTCGAATTTTTTACTGCGTGAATCGTTCGTGGTCGGCTAAAATCAGCATTCCCGAGTTAAGAAGATCGAATTTGCTCAACATCATACAACTGCTCGAAGAAGAAGAAGACATCAACCAGATAACTCAGTACTTCAGCTACGAGCATTTCTACGTCATCTACTGCAAGTTTTGGGAGTTGGATCGGGATCACGATTTGTTCATAGACAAACAGGATTTGACCAGGCATAACGACCATGGTAAGAAAAATAGTTTTTCTATTTTTCAAATATTAGGCTTTTGAAAAATTGAACAATTAAACAAATCCAGAGTATTTACAAATACTATAATTGGATTTAAAAAAATATTAAAAAAAAATTGTTAAGCTTTTTCTCGTTTACATTAAAATCTATTATTTTTTTGTAGAGTATTTGAAAATGGGGTAAATAAAGGGCTTTTTATAATTATTGTTTAAAAAAAAAGAAAAAATTGTTTCCTTTAGGTATAAAAATGAGCCTGTGAAAATATAATCACTTTTCGATTTTCCATTAGGATAATATGTGAAAAATTGTTTTTGTTCCTTCTGATTTTTGTAACTCGCCAACCAAAGGTCATACAAAAAATGTGTTCGGATATTTTTGTACAGAATTAAACGCTCTACAAAAAAGGTTTCTTATGATTTTTTGCTAAACTAATTGGTTAAAAAGTTATTAAAGATCAAAGTTCAACTCACCATCAATTTTTCCGATTTTTCGGTATATGCTAAAGAAGTATCGCTAGTAGCGCCACCACTCGGCTGTTATCATCCTATCAAAAGTATAACTTTTGATAATCAGCTGTCAAACGCTTAGGTTACAAACGAGTGTTTTTGAGAATAAAGCCGAAAAATGTTAAAAAATATAAAAAAAAAACCGTGGCTCGATTTGTTGTGTTGTTGGGTGTATTTTGAGAGGAAATCCTGGGTTGAGTTTTTACAGTGTTAATCCGAATGAAGAAATAAATTTCATACAGTCCCTGTAAATATGAATTGTATCTATTAGATATTAGTAATGATTAACGTGAAAAGTGTAAACATTTCAATTCAGTAAAAATTGTCAAACAAATAAGTCGTCTAAATTTAAACAGCAGTTAGCATTATTAAAAGCGTTGATTAAGAATTCTTTAAATTCTCCAGTCAACGGTAAAATACCATTATATTATGTATTATATATAATATTATGTTGCCATTAATTCGTAGGTATATTTTGTTGTTTAATTGCAGTTATCGGCATTTTTTAGAGAACTTAAATATAAAAATGGTTCATTTTAAGGTTATTTTAGTGCAAAAATTATTTTTTACTAATTTCTTAAAAATGTCTAACCTTAAACATAAATTAGGTATATTAAAAAGTTATCATTAGTTAATTCTGCACCAACAAATGTACTTTGAGAAAACATGAAAATGCAACGATTTAGTTCTTGAATTTTATTTACACTTAAAAACACAATAATTCACCATGATTAGATAAAATACACACACTAACGTAACTATATAAGCATTTAATCGTTGAGTTTCTTAATCAATGATATAAAGAATAATCAATCAAAATCGAGTACCTACTAAAAAAGTTTTTGAATTTTTTCCTTGTAACGTAAAACACAAATAACGTGCGCGATTTAGCTGTGCAATTGAACAAAATTCGTCGAGTAAGACTCTCTTTTGTAAAAAAAACTACCTATTTATTTAAAAATGATGTATAATCTGTGCTTTAAATGTATTGTTAACACAACTTATGTATATTCAAAATCAAATAATAAAAAATGTTGGTGGCAAATACTGAAATTTTAGGCATAGTTAAATATGTTTTCATAAAAAAAATGAAATTGAAAAAAAAATGTATTATAAAATTATTTTAGTAAAGTTCTGTAACAGAAGTTCTGTTTGAATTTGTAAATGAAAAAAATATTGGTTAACGACTCTTGTAATGTCAAATTTATGTTCCGCATGAAATTACGTGCTCAATTTTTTGATAAAACTGAGTAGTTCCTCTGCAATACCGAAAAATTAAAAAAATTGAATCAGAAGAAAAAAAAGTGCGATGCGGAGCATTAAGAGCTGATATTTTTACAGGCTCATTTTTATACCTAAACGAAAAAAAAACCGCTTTTTTTAACACCCTACTGGCAGTTGACAAAAGCTAAGAATCCACACGATGCGGTATTATTTTTTGCAGCTCTTTCCAGCAGAATCATAGACAGGATATTCTCGGGCTGCGTGACGAGAGGTTCTAAGCGCCAGCACGAGGAAAAAATGTCCTACACGGAATTCGTGTGGTTTCTTTTAAGTGAAGAAGATAAATTACACCCCACAGCCATCGAGTATTGGTTCAGATGCATGGATTTAGACGGAGACGGTTATTTGTCTATGTACGAGCTGGAATATTTCTATGATGAGCAAATGAATAGGATGGAGGCTATAGGGATTGAAACGTTACCTTTCCAAGTAAGACGTTTGGATTTTTCTTACTTAAATATTTTTGGCAATTCATTTATTTTTTAGGACTGTCTTTGTCAAATGCTGGACATGGTGAAGCCAAAACAAGAAGGAAAAATCACTCTTAGCGATCTAAAAAAATGCAGGATGACTCCCATTTTTTACGACACATTCTTTAATTTGGAGAAATATTTGGACCACGAGCAAAGAGATCCATTTGCGGCCCAGCGAGACCATGATATTGACGGTCAGGAGGTAAGTGCAGATAACAAGGGCCCCAAATAGGAACCTTGTGGCACATGTTTATTAGACTGGGCCAAAAAACGAAAGTATATCGAAAATATTATTTGGGGTGACAAAAAAAAATATTGTGAAAGTTTGAGTCCATAATATTAATATTACGAAGTCTATCATCGCAATTTTTCCCGAGCGTGTTTTTGTCTCAGAACTCCCAAACCATTGGAGTTTAACAAATTTGACTGAAATATTTTTTGAAGGAAATTGAATGCTCTACAAAAAAGCTCTGATTGAAATTTTCCGTCAGATGAACCGTTTCCTTACAATCATGCCTTAAAATTGGTATAGTTTTACAATTTGATCTTTTGACTTTGGAATTTTGTAATTCATGTAAAAATCAGTACCCGGAAAAAAACGATAAATATTCTTATGGGAAATCAAATGCTCTACAAAAAAAGTCTCTTAACTTTTTTGGCTAAATTCACTCCATCAAGAGTTATTCAAGGTTAAAAATTTCGTTTTGACTTCAACTTTAACTTTGAATAACTTTTGATGGAGTGAATTTAGCCAAAAATGTTAAGAGACTTTTTTTGTAGAGCGTTTGATTGCCATAAAAATATCTATCGGTTTTTACGGGTACTGATTTGTACATGAATTACAAAATTCCAAAGTTAAAAGATCAAATTATAAAACTACATTATTTAAGGCATGATTCTAAGGAAATGGTACATCTGACGGAAAATTTTAATCAAACCGTTTTTGTAGAGCACTCAATTTCCTTTAAAAATATCTCTGAGTCGATTTTGTTTAACTGTTGGTTTGGGAGTTCTGAGACAAAAACTCGCTCAGTAAAAAAAAATCTAAAATTGCTCTTAATATTATGGACGCAATAATTTTTTTTGTCACCCCAAACAATATTTTCGATAAACTAAAAAAAAAATAGTCTAATGCTTATATATATATTTTTTTAGATGTCTGACTGGGATAGATATGCGGCCGAAGAATATGAACTTCTAGTGGCTGAAGAAGGCGGAAACGATCAACAAGATAGCATGTAAGTAATTTTTAAATTTTAGGAATGGTTCTTACAATTTTTTGAAAAAATATTCACACAAAATAACCTTTAAACTATCTTAAATTAATAATAACTAAATTGGCGATGTTCTGGGAATCTTCCGGGTTCTTTTGGTGGTATACATTGTGTAGTTGGTAGTACTAATTTTAATTTTCAGTTTAATAACATTTAAGTACTTTTTACGTTGTTAATAATAATAATTTGGAATATTTTTTCAGTTACGTTTAATATAATCATTAATAAAATGTGTTATATTTAGGGATTACAGTTGTGGCTATGACAGGGTAAGAACTTGTTGAGTTCTTGGTGTGACAAAATAATTACTAACAGTCTTTTTAGAGCATTAAGATATTACTAACAAAAATGGCAACCTGCATTTAATATCTTGTTTTAAAATGCTGGCTCTAACAAATAACATTTTGCAAAGTGTTTGTATGATTTGTAAAAAAAATAATTAACAAATTTCCTTATGCCTTATACATTATTTCATTGGTCAAATGTTAAAATGGGTAAATTTTAGTAATTTTACATAGAAATATTCCAAATATTGACTTTCTCAATATGTCTAGACATTTTTAATTAACTTAAACGTTCTTAAATAAGGTTTTTACATTCTTAAATTTGTTTTAATAACTCTAAAATTCTTCAAGTATGTATTGTAATTCTTAAAAATATAAATATATTTTGACATTCTAAATCATTCTAGAATGTGTTATAGACGCTTTTGACATTTTTTAATGAGTTTTTACATTTGTTTTTGACATTCTAGAAATTACTGGGCTTTAATTTGTTTTGACATTTGTTTTAGTAATTCTAAAATATAATAAAATAAATAAAATTTAATTTTGACATTCTAAAATATATTTGAACATTCTTAAGTAGATATCTATTGTCATTCTGAAGAATGGTTTTGAAATGTTACAAGAGGATTTGTCTTTCATAAAAATATTTTGATATTAAAAAACATTCTAGAATGTGTTTTATATCATAAATTGTAACATACGGTTTTAACATTCTTAAATAAAGTTTTTACATTTATTTTTGACATTCTCTAAATTACTGGTTTTTAATTTGTTTTAGTAATTCTAAAATATGTTTGAACATTCTTAAATATGTTTCAACATTCTAAAACATTACAAAATGTTTTTTATACATTTTAAAATGGTTTTTATTCTAAAATTTGTTTTTGACCATCTAAAATATAGTTAAACATTCTTAAATGTGTGTTGTCATTCTAAAGGCTGGTTTTGAAATTTTAAAACAGTATTTGGGTTTCATAAATACATTTTGACATTCCAAAACATTCTAGAACTTGTTACATACGGTTTTGACATTCTTTAATGACATAATTATAATTAATAACATTTGTTTTTGATATTTTAGAATTTACTCGTCTTTAATAAATATATTTTGAAATTTCAAAACATTCTATAGAATGTGTTATATACCATAAATTGTTACAAACGGTTTTGACATTTGTTTTTAACATTCTAGAATTTACTGGTTTTTAATTTGTTTTGCCATTTGTTTTAGTAATTCTAAAATATAATAAAATAAATAAAATTTTCTTTTGACATTCTAAAATATATTTGAACATTCTTAAGTATGTATTGTCATTCTAAAGAATGGTTTTGAAATGTTACAAGAGGATTTGTCTTTCATAAAAATATTTTGATATTCCAAAACATTCTAGAATATGTTTTATAACATAAATTGTAACATATGGTTTTAACATTTCTTAAATAAAGTTTTTACATTTATTTTTGACATTCTCTAAATTACTGGTCTTTAATTTGTTTTAGTAATTCTAAAATATTTTTAAACCTTTTTAAATATCTGTCTTGACATTCTAAAACATTCCAATTTTTTTTACATTTTAAAATGGGTTTTTCATTCCTAAATTTCCTTTAACATTCTAAAATAAATTTGAACATTCTTAGGTATGTATTGTCATTCTTTAAAACAGTATTTGTCTTTCATAAATATATTTTGGCATTCCAAAACATTATAGAATGTGTTTTATAACATAAATTGTTAAATACGGTTTTGACATTCTTTAATGAGGTTTTTACATTTTTTTTGACATTCTAGAATTTACTAGTTTTTAATTTGTTTTGACATTTGTTGTAGTAATTATAAAATATATATAATTTTATAATATACATATGTATGTTTAAACATTCTTAGATATGTATTGACATTCTAAAACATTTCAAAATGTCTTTTTTACATATTAAAATGGTTTTTACATTCTTAAATTTGTTTTTGACGTTCCAAAATATATTTAAACATTCTTTCATAAATATATTTTGACATTCCAAAATATTCTAGAATGTGTTACATACGGTTTTGAAATTCTTTAATGAGGTTTTTACATTTGTTTTAGTAGTTCTAAAATATGCCTTGACATTCTAAAACATTCCAAAATGTCTTTTATACATTAAAAAAAAAAAATTTTATTCTAAAATTCTAAAATATGTTTGAACATTATTTTTATTCAGAAGGGTTTTGACATTCCAAAACATTCTAGGAAGTGTTTTTAACATTCCTAGACTTTTTTGAGATTTTTTAAACAGGTTTTTACATTCTTATTTGTTTGGAAAGTTTGACTACTATAGTTGTAAAAAGTGTTAAATACAATACAATTTAATAAAAAAAAAATATATAAAACCTTTTCAATACTTACTAAATTTTATTACATTTTATAGTTTGACCAAATAATTAAATACGTCCTATCATTTTATTATAAAATCATATAAAAATGTGACATAAAAATGAAAATCTTTGCTTTGTCTTCTCTTTCAGTAATTTGCTTGTAAAAAATCCATCACCAAATTCTTATGGCATTTTGGGTATACCAAATAATAATGCTTTTAAAAATGTAGACAATTTTTTCACATATGTTAAAAAATTGACTACTCCGTTATAGCAGCAAAAAATCTTCAAAATCACTATTTTGCTGCAATTTTCAGCTCCTTCGATGAAGGTAATGAAGAAGACCTTCTGTCGCAGCGCCTAGAGGGCGCTCTGGACGACGAAGACGATGCTGCAGATCTCACCGACGAAAGTGACGAGTGCAGCATTTAGCGGTAAAAAAAGAAAACAAAAAAAAACATCACGGAATCTAGTCTCACAGAGTGCACTCAGAATTTTAGCGTTTCGGAATAACGATTTTATTTTTACGGCTTATATCCAGTGAATCAGTACTGATGAAGTGTTCAATTTAGTTTTTTAATTCATTAACAAACCAAAGACTTTGATACGAAGGAATTTAGTGGCGAATCTAGCGAATAGATTTTACATGTGATCTTAAAGTATAGGATGGAGTTTTTTATTTGTATCAAATTTTTGTATCAGTAGGTAATCGTTCGCATATATACATAGAGATATTTTTACATAATTATAACAAGAGCTTTATAGGGAATTAACGTTATATCTCTTTCATATTATGGAATCCTACTACTAATTATATAATGTTCGACGTTTTTATACTATTTAATGTAGATCACGCGCTATTTCTAAAAATATGCAGAACTAATGGAAAATAGTATTAATTTAGGCATACCTAACTTGTGTGATTATTGATATTGAATATTTTTATGCATTGATGATGGAAAGCTGTTAGTAAATAATGCGATTTTGAGTCTAAGAAATATGCAACAATTGAATGATGTTTTATTTGTTTAAGAATTTATTTATAGTTTTTTAAGTATTTTGACTTAAAATTGTTGTATTTTTCGCGTTTTATATTGTTAATAATTAGGTGGTACCTTCTGTAAGCGTTTACGTAATTATTCAATCATTATTGAATCTCGGTTACAAGGTATTTCGTAGCATTGTTTTTTATTACTTTATTAATTAATAATCCTAGAGTAAATATATTTATTTTGAGTTGAGTATTTTCTACTTTGATGGCTTAATGATGCATTGTAACTTATATTTAAGTGTTTTCTTTTTTTAATGCAGTGTTTTTTGACACTGTCGGTGCAGCTATTTGTTGGAATTGTATAGTATAGTTTATTTAACAATTTATTTAACTCTTCTTATAGCCTAATATATGAAATATACTAGTCATTTTTATTATATTCATACCCCTATTTATCATTGTGTAACACTGTATACAAATTGTTTATTATTTAGATGATATAATATATTGGTTTTCTCTTTTAATTTGTATTTTTATTTTTCCACCTGTTGGCATCTATTAAAAGCAATAAAAAACCTCCATAGAAAGCAATAAACCAATATCCACAATTATTGATTTCTATATACCTATAGAAATCATTATTGTGAGAAATAAATATGGTTTCAAAATATCCGAAAAAATTGAGCCCTCAAAACAAACGGTTTTTTTCGGAAATAACGGAAAAATTGGTAAATTTTCAGAAAAATTTACGTTTGCATTTTTTTCATTTTCTTTAAAGGATACTACGAAAAAAATGCATACGAATTTTTTTGGAATATTTCCAAATTTTTAAGTAAAATATCGAGAAAAAAGTGAATTTTCGACGCTGATTATCATATTATGGGTCATTTTCAAAATTCTTGTATATTTAAAGGGGAAAAAGTAAAAACAAAACTTAATCTACAAACCTGTTTTTTTCTTCAAATTTTGTTTATTTAACACCTAAAAGTGGTCAGTTGGATTTTTAAAAATAAAAAAGAAAAAAAATGGTCCCCTGGGTCACAAATTTACTAACATATTAATATTAATTATTTTGAAAATATTTTTTTTGCTTGTTAATAATTATTTAGACTAGGATTGGTTTAAAAAAAGAACATAAATTTATTATTTATGAAAAAATGTACAAAACTAAGTAAAAGCAAACACTATGTTCTATTTCTAAACTTTCTTACATACATAAAAATGTCCATTAAAAAAGTGAGTTTAAGAATTTTTTTTTTAATTTAAAAATGTTTTTTTCTCGATTTTTTTATCTGGGCCCAGATTGTCCAATTTAAGGAGCAATAAATTAATAAAAAAATTTAGTTATTAGTAATATTAATAAAATAATACTACCAAAAATTTTTTTCCAGCTTCTTTAAGGCAAAATACATTGACTAGGAAAATTACTATTTAAAAGGTGGAGGCCATTATTTTAAATTGGCTACGTAGGTACTGTCAGAAAAAGGATTTTTTTGTTAATTAAAATAATGTTAAAAATGTTCTGAAAAAAAACTAAAAAAAAAAAGTTTTTTCCAAAATTTTTCGACACTTTAAAACCTTAAGAATAAAACACAAAAATTCCTATAATCTCTTTTATTCTTATCCTAGGTAAATCATTTGTCCCACAAACCGATTTCCTTCATTTTCGTCTGGAAATACTGCTGCAAATTGACGGCACAGTGGTAGTACTCAGTTTCGGGGGAGTTAAATATTTTGCAGTTGGTAAAAATGCGCATCATGTCGGCTATAAAGAGTCGTCGTGACACGTAGTAACGGTTTTTCAGTCTTTCCCCCATAGTTTTTAAATCTAAAATCATAATAAAAATAATTGCGTAATTTTTGAGTGGCGGAATTACCCATAGGATATTTTATGTGGAAATAGTAGTCCTTGACGACGTTTCTGTTTACTGGTTCTCTAAAGGGCCACGAGTCTTCATGTGCAACAACCTTAAAATAATAAAAACTGAAATTAAATATTCAAAGTTATGGGTTAAGAAAACGAAATTATAACTTTGAATATCAAATTTTGTACACAAGTAAACTTAGTTATATCGCATTATTTCGGTCTTACGAATATACGTATTGTATACTGAAAAGTTAAGTCTTGCAACAAGCAAATTTTTAACGTCGTATTTTTTTATATTTTAATCATAAAAAAACCCAAAACTGACGCAGTGCGGGCAGAGGCTAAAACAAGTGTCCATTTTTTTTTTTTTAGTTGGAGCAAATAACTTTTTTACTGTAAAAGTTCTTAAAACTAATATTTTTTATCCAATATGGCGTTAAAAGTTGGAAATGTAAGAAATAATTTCAAAATTTGGTGAAATAAAAAATAAAGGTTTTAAATATTTTGTCACCACATAAAAATATAATAATTTTACTAAAACGTAAATACACCAAAGGCACATAATATGTTTATTTTTACGAAGTTATTTAATAAAATCGAAAATGAACTTTCAACTTGACACAGCATTTTAGGGACACCTTGTATATTAAAATATACATCTACACCATAGAGATCCACATATGTTTTAATGTTCTATTTTTTATATTTTAACTATGGTTTCGCGTAAAAATCGAACAAATTTTGGACATTTGTTTGCAAGTGATGCCAGAATTGAATATATTTTTTTAACCTTGTTTCTACTTCTAAATGGTGCATTTAAAAAAATCGCCTATTAGATATATGTATATTTTTTATTCAATTGTTTTTCGATTTTTTGGAATTAGTTTTTTTGCATTTTTTTATATTTAATATATGCTATACAGGGTGTTTCTGGAGAAACGAAAACGATATGGATTTGAAATTTTAATAGCGTATACAATTTGATTTAGACCATACCTAAAGTCAATAGTTTTCAAGATATTTGGAATATTAAAACATTGTTTAAATAACTTAATTTTTTAAAGGTTTTTCAATAAATAGCTTGAAAAAAACCATTTGAAATTAGGCAAACTTCAAACAATAATAACGTTTTTATGTAAATGTAAAACCCTGTATGTTAACTTAATCAAATAGAAAATTAAAGAATCTTTCAATTGGTATTATAATAACTGTTTCCTAAAGTTAAAATTTCAGAGACATTTCTAATATTTTCAATACTATTTTGTATCAACAAACCTGTGAAATTCTACATGTGGGTTAATGTGTAATAACAACACTTTGCTAAGAATTTTATGTAGAATTCAAAAATGTAAAAATATATGAGGAATCCTGTTTAAAATAACAAAGTTAAAGACAAAAAGTCTAAATCGAATAATTTACGCTATTAAAATTTTAAATCGATGTCCTAAAACGATTCCCTAAAAACTTCTAACGGACTACGTACGTGAAACACCCTGTATATTAAAAGTCATTTACTTAATTATTAATAAAATAAACAAAAATATGTGTATAAAAATGACGAAATGTACTAAACTAAACGTTTATGAATACTGCTACTGCTAATTCAAAACTGATCCTGGCCACAGAAACATCATTTGCATAAAAAAGTTAATATATCAAATAATAGTCAAATATCAATTATTGTATTATACTTGTTACACTCAAATTTATAAAACAAAGTTGCTTCTTTGATTATTTACCCTTTAAAAATTGTTAAACCAAAAGTGGCGTTAAAATCCAATCAAGTTTTCTTGTATTAATTGAGGGGCCTAGAAGTAAAAGGGTTTAAGTGCATTTTTGTTAGTTCTGAGTTCTTTAAAGTTAACTTGAATTTTAAAATTCTAGAAAAGAGTTTAAAAAACTGTGTAAATATTTTAGTTTTGTTTAAAGACAAAAAAGGATTATAAAGAAAAAGGAATTTTTTAATTTCGCTTTTTTGTTAATTTTTTTACAAAAATGTACTTGAATCGTCATGCATGTAAGACAAAATTTAGTGGTAAAATGATTAAGTGCAATTACTGTACTAGAACAAAAACTTTATTTTTTAAAATTTGGGTAAATTTTATAACAAAAAGTATTATTTATAATAAGAATCTAATACAACGTTTTCTTCATCTGAATTAGCTGGTCTTGGTTGGGGTTGATCTAAATTGAATTTTTTTGGCTCAATGCTATGGTCTGTTTTAAAATACTTGTCAAGGCTTTAGCAGCATAGATAATAGCCTATGTTTAGCAGTAAAAGGTGCATTTAAATCGTTTTACCAAAGATATATTTTAAAATATTTTGACAGGTTTTTAAAGACGATAAGAAATGGCGCCAGAGAATGTAAAATGTACTTATATAATTTTACCACTAAGTTAGAATATTCTTTAGGTGTGATATTCTGCACTTAGACCTTTTATTTAAAAAAGTGCACTTGAAACGTTTTACTTCCAAGCCCCTCAATTGTCATTAGTAAGATCTACATTTTCTCCAAATTTCAAATCGATACGTTTTGAAATAAAAAAGTTATTAAAAAAGAGATTTTTTTTAAAGTACTGCATTTGGATGTATAAACAAGTTTCAATCGATTTCTTGAACCCTTGCAAATCGACCGTTCGATCCTTTCGCGAAAGTTTGTATACTAAAATCTATGTTTTAATGTCCGATTTTTTATATTTTAACCATAATAAATAACAATAATTTTTGGGAAATTTTTCGTAAACTTACCGCATTTAATACTGTTTTCAACAATTTCGCCAAATTATCGATATCTTGAGATTCCTCAAGCTGCTGCCCTCTGGTGGCTCTTGTAGCTTGCTTCCACCCTGTTTCCTGCAGCCCCGGTATGGACTCCACCGGAATACTCCTGACACCTTCAAAACCACCATTAAAACACCAACAAATTTCAAAAGTCGCGCGGAATATTACCTTCTTTAAAAAACGTCAAACCAGGGTGAATCTTGGACACGTTATGCTGCTGCTGATAGATCAGCTGCTTCACGAACTTCTTCTGCCTTCTCACTATCGAAGTGAACTCCGTGTACACGATTTTGGGGTTCATCTCGCAATGCATCAGGGTAGCACCCTCGTACTCCTTGATGTACCCCTGGTACAGCAGGCGGTTCATTTTGATGTCTTTGGAGAAACCCTGCCGTTCGAAGTAACCGATGGCGTTTTGGTCGCCGAAAGCCAGGAAGTGGAGGATACCCTTGGATATGTGGTAGTCCTTCAGGTGGTTCATTAAGTGCGTGCCGTAGCCTTTCATTTGTTCGCTGAAAGTTAGGGCGCAAAAAACTATTTCGGTGAAGCCTTGCGTCGGAAAAGGTCTGAAGCATATTCCGCCGATAGGTCTGCTGTCTTTGATCAAGGCTATGGTGCGATGTTTGCTAAAATGACGCGTTCAAAAAATTACCTTTTAATTAAACATTGACAAGTTGTGGCTTTATGGCGCTTTAGTAACGGACTGAAGTTAGTTTTAAGTCAGTTGACAGTTGTCAAATGTCATACAATTCTTAAAATAAAGTGCCTTTCTATTTTTTTAATTTAATTGGTTTAAAATTTTACCCATAAAAATTGTAGGTTTACATTTATGAATTTAAAGTATTCATGTATTGAAAGACAAAATTTACTAATTAACAGTCAATCAATTTTTGCAAAAATTTCCATCATTTTTTAATAAAAATAATTTATTTGGGCAGAATTTTGTAAATCCTTAATACATTTTTAATTAAATTGGTAAACTGAAATGTTTTAATCTCAAAACAATTGCTAATAAAAAAATATTTTAAATCCAAAAGGCAAATGTAAAAGTTTAGGTTTAAAATATTGTTTTTTTAATATTGTAGTTTTAATATTTTATTCTACAAAATTATTGGTTTAAATTTGTAAAGAGTCACTTAAATGATAGTCGATAAATTTTTAATGCAAAAATTCCCGCAATACATTTAAATGTTAGTTTTAAATGTTAAAGTGGTAATTTTTGTATTTAAATGGCTCTTGAGAAATTTAAACCAAAAACATTTATTTTTAACAAATTTAATTTGAGACACTTTTAACCCAAAAATATTCACATAAATAAATAATTTTAATATTTTTTAAACCCCTAAAATCTATAAAATTCCCGAAATTTTAAAATTAAAATGGTGGACAAATGTTTAATATTTCCAGTTTTCACAATTATCAAAATTCACCTTTGCAAATATTTTAAAATTTTCAAAATCTGCAGTTTTCTGTATATTTCAGTATTTTCAAAATTTACAAAATCAAAATGGTATTAAAATTTAAAACAAATTTTCAAAATTCCAAAAATTTGGTGTTAAATATTTTAAAAATTTATAAGGAACTAAAATCAAAATTTTCAATATTTTAAAAGATTGTAAAATTTTTAAGATAACCAAAAATTTTAAAATCAAAATGGTAGGGCAAATTTGACAAATTTACACAAGTTTACCAAAATTTTCAAAATCAAAATGGTGGGAGAAACTCAAAAATTCCAAAATTTAAAAAAATTCAATTTTTTTTAGATTTTTAATATTTTTAAAACTCCCAAAAATTATAAAATTTCCAAAATTTTAAAATTAAAGTGGTGGACAAATGTTTAAAATTACCAGTTTTCACAATTTTCAAAATTCACATTTGCAAAAAAATTTAAATTTCCAAAATTTTCAAGAATTAAAATTTTAAAAATCAAAATCGAAATGGAAGGACAAATTTTCAAAATTCACAGTTTTCACAATTCAGAATTCAAAAAATAGACAAAATTTGCAAAAAAAATAAAATATCCAAAAATTATAAGTTTACAAAAAATTTAAAATCTACAAAATTTTCAAGATTACCAATTTTTTTTAAATTTCCAAATTTTTCAATATATTCAAAATTTCAAAACTTTCCAAAACCACAAAACCAAAAAAATTAATGCTTCAAAAAAACTTTAAGCTTTATTGTGTCACAATTTCTTATGTAAGTCGATAATTTTTTATTCACAAAGTGTAAACGCTGCTTTAGCTGACTGTGATGCGTTAATTTTGAAGCGCAGTATAAAATACTATACTAAGATACTTTTGAGTAACTAAATTACTTTTAGGTACAAATGAAAACTATAAAATTAAGAAAATTCAACAAGTTGTAGTTTGTAAAAAGTATCTTAGTTACTTTACCAAGTAACTTAGATACTCTTTTAGATAGGTACTAAGTTAAAGATATTTTCCGTCCAATATAAAAAGTATTAAAGTTACTTTTAAGTATATATTTTTTTAAGATTCTTTCAGCTTGGTTATATTTTTTATTTACTTAAAAAAAATTCCCTATTAAAGTTCTTTTTCGAGCGTTTTTTATTATTAAATAAAAGGGCTTTAAGGATAAATTTTCGAAAAACCCTCGAACACGTAAACCAGATATAAGTTAAAGTATTTTTATAAAAAATTTTATAAAGATTGGTAAAGGCGTTTTAGAGTTGGATTTTTTTTACTTGTTATGCGTTAATTTTGAAGAGCAGTGTATATGAAAGAATCTAAAAAACTTTTGAGTAACTAAGATACTTTTAAGTAATAGACCTATCCCATAAAACAGACTTTTGGATAGCGCGTGCCTGAAGAAGAGTGGTATCTCTTTCTCTTTTATATAATTAAAAAAAGACGACGTGCTTTTCACGCACGCGCTATCCAAAAGTCCGTTTTATGAGATAGGTCTATTAAGATACTTTTGAGTAACTAAATTACTTTTAAGTATGAATAAAAACTATAAAATCATAAAAATTCAACAACTTGTAGATTAGGTAATTACTTTGAATCATTCTGGAATTACCCCAATTTTTTCTAAGAAATTATCCAAGTTACTTTAAAAAGTACTTTAGTTACTTTACCGAGTAACTTACATACTCTTTAAGATACTAAGTTAAATATACTTTCTGTCCAATATAAAAAGGATCTAAGATAAAGTATCTTAGATACTTTAGTATCTAAGTTACTTTTAAGTATTATTTTTTTTCAAGATACTTCCAGCTCTGGTTCTCGGATACTTTTAAAAGGATTTTAGGACGGGATTTTTTGTGTGACTTACGGGTCGAATAAAAGCTGCGTGATATATTCGACGGGCATTCTGGGAAGCTGCCTGGAAAAAACGTTTTGCAAGCCTATGAGCCACAGCATGGTTTGCTTGGTGATGGGCTCGGTCAGGCTGTTCCCGACCACGTGCATCTCGATGACCTTCAACTTCTCCTCGAGCTTCGGCGCCTCGTCGGTGGCGTCCGAGTGCTCCGAGAAGACCATCTGCAAAAGACGCGAAATAAGATCGACCAAACACGCAACGAACTCAACTTTTTTTACATCTGGGCCGGTCATGTAGTTGGGGTCGTCGATGGTGGCGACTATTTCGGCCACCGTTTCCATCGGCAGGTCTTGGAACTCCTCCTCCTGCGCGAGCTTTTTGCGCTTGTTTTCCCTGGTCGCGGTGGAATCGGTGGTGCGCATGCTCTTGCCGGAAATTCCGGGAGTGCCCGGCGTGACGGTTTTCTCGTTACCGGGAACTGACGCAGAAATGTGTTAGTGTCCCATTTCAAACCATTTTAATTGTACTACTCCAATTGAGTAATTTTCATTAATAACAAAATTTATTATATACCGTACCTTCATTTGCAAGCTATACATAGGGAAAATACATTGTAGGTGGAACAGACAAGTCGAAGTCGGCGCGGTCAGCGCGAAACGAAAATGTTCCCAGAAATTATTTTGACGAGTGGATGAGTAGACTAACATACGACGTAACAGGTGACCTTGTTTACTGGCGATTAAAATTTTATTACGTCCTAATAATTTCTGATAACTTTTTCGATTTGCGTATAGCTTGCAAATGAAGGTACGGTATAACCTTACTTTAACCGATTTAAAGATGCCTTACAAAGGGAGTAATAAGTTCATTATTTTTGTTGCTAGGTTCAAAGTTTTCACAATATCTATAATTTTCTAAATTCACAAACTTTGCAGTTTTTTTTTAAATTATCAAAATTTATAAAATTTAGTTTCAATATTTTCAAAATTTATAATTTTAACTTAACCAAAATATTCAAAATTAAAATCAAAATGGTAAAACAAACAGTATTTTCAAAATGCTCAAATTTTTTTAAATTTCCAAGTTTAACAAAATTTTTCAAATCAAAATGGTAGGTAAAATTTTAAGAAAACCAAAAGTTTTAAAATTAAAAATTAAAATACAAAATTTTCAATATTTTCTAAATTCCCAAAATTTAGTATTTTTCAAAATTAAAATCAAAATGGTGTGACAAATTTTAAGAAATTCCAAAATTTACAAAAATTCACCAAAATTTTCAGAATCCAAATCAAAATGGTAGGACCAAAATTTTAAAATTTTCAAGACTCCCAAAATGGTGATAAATTTGTAAAATTTTCAAGATTATCAAAAATTTCAAAATATACCAAAATGGTAGGACAAATTTACAAATTTTTTAGAAGTTTACCAAAATTATCAAAATCAAAATGGTGTTAAATTTTCAAAAATTACAAAATTTTCAAAATCAAAATGGTGAAAAAAATTTCAAAATTTTTAGTATTTTCTAAATTCACAAAATTTACAAAATTTTCAAATACAAAATTAAAATGTGACCACAAATTTTCACAATTTTCAAAATTCACAAAATTTAGTTTTATTTTCAAAATTTTTAAAATGTTTAAAATTTTCACAAGTTAACTAACCAAAATTTTTAAAATCAAAATTGAAGAAACTCAAAAAACTGGTTTATGTTTAAAATTTCCAGTTTTCACAATCTCAAAATTCACAAAATCCTCAAAATATGCAAAAATTTTCTAATATTTCAAAATAACTAAAATTTTAAAAAGTTTACCAAAATTTTCAACATCAAAATGGCGGGTGAAACTTGTTAAATTTGGTGGACAAATTTTCAAAATTTCCAGTTTTCATAATTCAAAAAATAGTCAAAATTTGCAAAAATTTTAAAATTTCCAAAAATTAATTTTTAATCTTAAAATGTCCAAAATTTATTAGATTTACAAATATTTTAAAATTTTCAATATCTTCAAAATTTCCAAAATTTTTCAAATTTTCAATTAAGATATTTATAATTTTCACAACCACAAAACAGCTTAAAAATAAAAACTTTAAAGACCAAAAGATTTAAAATAATTTCAAAGCTTCAAAAAAACTTGTGTCACAATTTCTGATGTAAATGATGAAAATGATATTAACAAATCAAATATATAAAATTGTTAGCGCTATACTTAATGATTATTAAATAAAAAAAAACAAAACACGAATTTAATAAAATTGTCCAAAATAAGTTTCATGTTGAGACATATTGTGCATTTAAAATTTAGTTTTCCTTGAATTTAAGTTTTAAACATAATGAATTTTATAATTTAAAATCCATAAAATGTACCTAAATAGGTTAAAGCTTTTTAAAATTGATCGTTTCGCTACTATTTCTCGATCGACGTTATTAATTTTATTTTATAATTGCGTTTCATGGAAATTTTGCGTTTTCCCCGATAACTCAATTTTCCTAATTTGATCAGTGTGCATTCAACTAAAAACTGGGTTACAGTTTAGTTTATATAGCGTATTTATTTATATATTCCCTAAGAGGAGCACTTGCTCTTAATTAAAAACTTATTTTCGTTACGACGCGCCATGGATTTTAATTTGAAGTGATTAATTGCTCAAGCTAATCAAATTATTATTTTTCCTTTATTCTTTGATAAAAGAAATTTTATATTTTTTTGTAACTTATTTCCTGGACACATCTTTTATCAAAAGATATATATGTTACGGCTAATGTGCAAACTTGGATGTTTATAAACTAGCTGGATAGTTTATAAACTGGCCAAACTGTCAGCTATTTTAATTGAAAACATATTTTCAACTAAATTAGCGGCTAGTTTACAAAATAACCAAGGATCTTGGCTAATTTACTTGAAATTATTAGGGAAACTAAAATAGCTGGATAGTTTGTATACTATCCAATTCAGTTTGGCTAATATGAAAACCAAAATTTCTAGTAACACAAAATAGCCAAGCTTTAGCTAGTTTGTAAACTAACCAACCAATTCTCTGGCTAATTTATTAAAAAAGTGAGGTTACGGCATTGTTTTTCGTTTTGCCGGCTTAACCGGATTTGTTTTGTGCATTTTAACGTTTTTAAAATGAATCATAGGCAAAATTTTAACGCTTTCTTGTTAGAAAACTCAACAACACAACCCTACCGACCCCGCCCCATTGGTCAAATGGTCAAAAATGAGAGAAAAAACCCAAACCAACCCAAACTCAACAACACAACCCAACCGACCCCGCCCCATTGGGCCCCCCCGCCCCATTGAGCAAAAAACCCAACTAAAATGGGCAATAGCCAGAGAATTAGTTGGTTAGTTTACAAACTAGCTAAAGCTTGGCTATTTTGTGTTACTAGAAATTTTGGTTTTCATATTAGCCAAATTGAATTGGATAGTATACAAACTAATAATTTCAAGTAAATTAGCCAAGATTATTTTGTAAACTAGCCGCTAATTTAGTTGAAAATTCTAATGTGCAAACTTGAATAGTTTATAAACTAGCTGGATAGTTTATATACTAGCCAAACTGTCAGCTATTTTAATTGAAAATGAATTTTTTATATATTATATAAAATACAGGGTGTTATGTAATTAATGTTATATATCAAAATACTGAATACCTTTTGACATAAGGAATAAAGGAAAAATATTTAAAAAAACATTTTTCTAAAGATAAAGAAAAAATATGCATTAGAAGTTTTTTATATTTTTTGTGATACGCCACTGGTTACACACTTAGTTTATCTCTGCACACTTGTATTTTGTGAGTACATAGATACCAACCAACAAAGTAGCTATGCGTTGCCAGATGTAAAAAATTGTTACTGAAAATTTTTCTTGCAAAAAATAAATAAAAACTCAATAAATACAAAAGTTTTATGCCCTTAAAGCTCTAATACCCTTCTGTATTTATTTACTGATCCAGCTATTAGCTTAAGCAATGATTAGAAAATTTAGTACCTTTGAAATTTGAAATCCATAACCACAAAATTAATTTTTTCATCAGTTTTTTTCTCTGTTTACTCAGATGAAATTGGGACCAGTTCACAGGTTAAACTTTAAACATTTAATTTGTGTAAATAAATCCAAAAGCACTTCCCTTAGTTAAGATATTTACAATTTGAAAACATAACCTAAAATTTAAAAGAAATGCACTAGATTCTGTAGTAAAAGTTGGCAGATTTTGTTTGAATTTACCTTCAGTACAGAAATGACATAATCAACAATTAATAAAAACGCCAAATTGACAATTTGCATTGTTAATTTTGTCATTTTTGTAATTAAGCTAAATTTAAACAATGTTTGTCAACTTTTTTGAGAGATTTTGGAAACTGTTGTTACCAACCATAACATAATAAATCCACCAGATTAACCTAAAGTTCCTAGTCGATCAGTGGCGTACTTTTTGGTAGGATAAAGGTTATTATAAATTATTTTTAGACTTTGGAATTTAGAAAAAAAAAGTTTCAGGTGCTTCTTTATGGACCCTAAGGAACAACTCATTTTAATATATAACATTAATTACATAACACCCTGTATACTTGTACACTACCAGTAACATTGGTTGCATACCTTTCAGCTTTGCAGAATCCAGCAGCACCTGGTAATGCGTGCTGGACGTTTTGAACTCCGGGTCCCATATGGGCGAGTTGGTAGCGTAGATTTCCTCGTCAAGGGCGTTCAAAAAGGGCGGGAAGTTCGTCATCAACATGGCCCTGCGTTCGGCGGGCATGGTATCGCGTTCCCTGTGAAACTGATCCATGATTTGTTTTCGGATGTACTTGAAAACTGCACGCAGCAGAGTCCGTCCGAAAACCATGGTGGTGTCGTAATGCTGCAGGGAGTCACAGAAGGTCGGCACGTAGCAGAATACCAACCACCTAAAAGTAAAAAAAAAACAAGGTGGAAGCAGAGTTGCCAAAATGTTAATGTAAAAAATAATGCAATCGTCATTTTTTTAATGGTAATGTAATGTCAAGTCGAGTTAAGTTTAGTTGTCAAATCATATAAAAGTAGTTAAATATAGGTGACTACGGCCCAGAAGAGACAAAGTATTCCTAGCGGATAATAATTTTCGCTTTGAAAAGAATTTATATACATTTAAAAAAAAATTTATTGAGAAATATTTTCATTACACATTAAAAAATTAATAAGCAATGTCGAACAATACATTACTCATTTAAAAATAAAAAATGAGTAATGAGAGACTGTACATTACACATTAAAAAAAATTGTAATGAAAAAGTTAAAAACAAAATCTTACCTGATTATTTATGTAATAAATTAGAGTATGTGTCCAACCCATACAACACCAGAAATTGTAATAATTTTAATGTTAAAATTTGTCGTACTGTTCAGATGAGCCATTCTGTTTTTTTTAATGGTTTAATTCAATTTAACAAACTACCCCCAAGTGTCAAAGAATGTACTAATCTCAAAATGTTTAAAAACCTTGTTAAAACTCATATACCTATTTAATGGGGATAATGTATAAAAACTAGTTGTAGGTACTCTTATTGTAAGAAAATGTTATATGTATAAATTATTGTTATTATGTATGATATTTATAGCCTTTGCTAAATAAACACTTATTATTATAAAAATGTTGATTTTCGATTTCTCTTATTTTTCCTTGCCCACTAAAAATGAGTAATTCGATACTCATTCATTTCTCATTAAATAAAAAAATGAGGAATGTAAAGTGGGTAGGTACATCACTCATTCGCATAACAAAATTTAATTGAAAATCTCAAATTACTCATTACAAATTAAAAATGAGTAATGTAAAAAAGAATACATTACTCATAGAAAAAAATGTAATAAAAATTAATTAAATTTTCGTTAAAAAAAAAGTAATGCATAATAAAAATTAAACTTATTACTCATATTTTAATAATGAGTATTGTAACCTTAATGCATTATTTGCAACTCTGATGCTAAAGTGTTTTTTGCAATTCCAAGTATGTTTTTGTATTAAACTGAACATTTAATATAAACTTAAAATTAAAGTTACTAAATAAATAATAAATTAATGATGTTTGTTTTAAGTATTTCAATTTTAACTTTCTTCAAACGGATAGGTTTTAATATTATTGATTTAATAACTGCAATAAAAATAAAAGTATTCAAATCAGTGGCGGCTTGTCAGGAAGCTTGGGCTTGCTCTAATTGGTTGTTTTATATCACATGACTGAAGATGTGGTGGATGGCAGTTTGTGTTGCTGTGTGAGATTTTGTTTTGTTTTTTTTACTTTTTTTTCATTTATAATGGTTTAGTAGGGCTAACGCATATACAAAGTGTCCCTAAAATGCCTGTACAAAAAGCACATATTCCTGAGAACCAAAAAAAGCGATATAACTAAATTAAATGTTGTTGTATTTTACCTTGTGTACTCAATTTTGTATACTGTTGCAGGTTCTTGGCTGACAATATGTTTTTGTGTGCTGGGCGATGGGAAATCCCAAGTGTTTAGGCAATGGAACAAAATATTCGCCAACTCGTACATAGTTTTCCATTCCTGTTGGGTTATGTGCGAAAATTTATAGACCAAAAGGTTGGTGACTGCTTTGTGGATGCAGGGCTCTTCGAAGGGGGGCTGACCCAGGGGGCCCTCCACCACGGGGGGCTCCCATGTAAGAATTATGCATTTTCTTAGTAGCTAAAACATAGAATATATTAAATTTATGATAACAGTTATACTGCTATAAAATTCAGTCCCAGAAGGTAGTAAATAAATTTCAGCGACCCCAATTTGTTGACAAAAAAGCAATAACACAAAATGAATTGGACCTGTGGGCACAATTATTTTTTGTTGATTTGGAGATATTTTTTCCAATTTGGTATACCTGTTGCTATTTTAATTAAAACATTTGGGGTGAATTAAAGTGTTTACATCCGCATCCTTGGAAAGAAAATCAATAGTTTTACGAACAACAAAAATACAAAACAAAAACTGAATTAAATTTGCAATTTTTAGACGTGGAAAATGAACCCACAAATTTATAAAAAAATAATAAAAGTTGAAGTGGAATTTAAAATAAAAATGCTTTCCACAGGGTGTTGAAAAAATCTAAATTTAGTACGTTGACGTACGACATCTACTTTAAAACTGAAGTAGAATTGATAAAGTTTCTATTAGGATGTTTTTTATATGTTAGCTCATAGATAACATCTGTTTCACTAATTAAAATACCAGTACATCACACAAACTTGAGATTTTCTGTATTAGCGCAAGTACCGATTGCTAAACGGTCACTTACGCAATACGTAATTGAAAATGCACGAATAAAATAAATCCACTTGAATATGTCAACTGCATGTCCAATAAAAATGAATTAACTAACCCTAATGGGTCCACTTCAATGTATATAAATCTTTCACAAAATTAACCAACATAGAAAAATCATAGGGCTTTGATTTGAGTTTCATAGAGCTTTGATTTGAGTCAAGTTATTTTTTATAGTCAAAATAAAACAATTTAAGTATAATTTCGTATTTTTAGTATTTTAATTTCGTAACCAAAAGAGCAAATCAAATTTTTTTTGGCACAGATATGTAGTTATTTACCTTTGAAAAATGGGGTGGGGGATAAATTTCAAAAATATGTCTAAATATGTCCCCATTGCTTCATTAAAATTTCACAAGAAAATATTGAACCATTTTCAAAGTGAATCAATAGTTTTAGAGTTGATCTTAGTAGGTTAGTGTTTGCAGACCAATGAAATAGCTTTATCATTACTCTAATGGAATAGATGTTTGTTTAATGTTACCAAATCGGATCAAGTTTGCCTAAATCTCCATGGAAAAATCGCTAGCAATTTAATATTCAGGCACAAGCTTAAATGGATTATAAAAAGATTGCGACCCTTTTCAAGAAGGTCACAACATGTAATCCTTCTTACGAGCGACGCGATTAATAATTTATTATGTATCCAAAGGCCTTGCGAGCGAATGTTTAATTAAATGAGTGTCTAGAAAAGTTTTAAACTTGTGGGAATATGGACGACGGTAATAAAATCGACAACCCTAGTTGAAAATATCTTTATTGTATATCTAATAAAATACAAATAGAAAATAAGCTCTCATAAACATCTTATAAAATTTACAACATTAATATAAACGTATATAATGTAATATACTCCAAGATGCAGGAAAATAATACATTTTTTTTTTAATCTGTAACAAAATAAATGCAGCATATTAAATGCAAAAAAAGTTGAGAGTGCTTCGAGCACCACTACACTCCGCGCTCCGTAGCCATGTCGTTTTAATTTGTCAATATTTACTGAACAATCAACGAAAAAATCTTAAAAAAGTATTTTCGCGCGTGCAACTCACTTCGATAGTTAACAATACGAGCCGCAGGCAAGTGTTGTAAACCCTATTTTCGTGAATACATGCGCATTAGTGATTTTCTTAGAGTATTAGTACCTACACGTTGTCCAAAATTAAGTACTTACTATAAAAAAATTTACACATATATTTTTTGAAAACAATAAAGTACAAAATTGTGCTTGGCTACATGGTACGTTTGTGGTGAATACAGAAATTGGGACATCAAAAATCGATATTTACTTGTACTAAAATTTTTATTTCTACTCGTACTTATAGATAAAATTGTATATTCTCTGAAACAATTTGTATATTGAATAATAATATTCACAAATATATAAAAGTAGTTTATAGAAGTCATTGTACATTTACGTTATATTTTTTTCGTAAAAAATCTTCGAGAACTTTTTTTTATTAATTATTATATTTATAGAGAATTATTTTAAATATTATACACAATACTTTTTTGGTGGCTTGTACGTACACTAAAATTAACAAAACACAAGATTTATAACCTAAAAACAATATAGGTACCTAATTGACATTCAGAAATGTTTATTTTTCGAAAAAAAAAATGTATATAAAATTTTACAATTCATTACTCATTACAATACATTTTTTATATTTTACATCCAAAAATATTACAAAATTAAATTAATATTTACAATTACATTATAGGTACCAAATTAAGAATCTAACAAAGTAAGCAAGTGTAGCACACAATTTTTTTACATGTATTATACAGTTCGACCAAAAACAATTGGTTCACGTACTACATACGAAAAAACTCTGTTAGAATCTCAATTTAATTTTGCAGTTTAAATCTGGATTCTATCGAACGCTAAACAATGTTAATAAATATTTTTTAAAATATAAACAGAAAGTTAAATTTAGTGTGTGCGATAAACAAACGTTTTAAGTTATCGCGGTTTTAAAATATCCTGTGTATGTACAGTTAATATGCTGCGTACAAAAAACCGCAATGTTTTTTTGCAAATTTGAAAGCTATTTAAAAAGTAGAATCACTTTGTTTTCGATATACGGGGTGTTAAAAAGTTAATAAAAAAGTATGGTCCCGTCAATGTTTTTTTTATTTTGATATTATATATAAAATATAATTATAATTACATTAGGCAATAAAAAATGCAACTTTTTTGCCTTTTACATTTTTTCTCTATCTTGCTTAATTTTCGAGATATAAATTAAATTCGTTTATCCGCCTCTGGATTTAATAAATTAAATTTAATTACATTAAATTAAGTCCTCTACCCATTGGTAAAAACCCACAGACCTACAAACAAGATGGACTGGCCTTTCCTATTCAAAATACACAATGTTTTGTTGCCAAGAACTATTTAGATTAGGGGTAAAGGGGTAAGGGGTATTTATAAACAAGTTCCCACACCAGTGGCGTTCTGTTTTTAGGGATAAATAAAAATATTAAATTGTACATTTTTTATTGTGTTTTGCAATCCTATGTAAAAATTATATTTAATATATATAAATATATAGGTATAACAAAATACTAACCTTGTCAGTTAGTGTTCCAGATGATGTAGAATCTGGCTGTTTAAATCTAAAATTTAAGTGAATTCATTTATTTATTCAGTTTCTACGCTCCTGGCAGGGTTTGTTTTGTAAATAAACTAACCTATGAAAAGAAAGTTTTAAATTCTTGGATACAAGTCTTTTACAAACGTAGCACTGCTTCACCATTTTTATATCACTTACTATTGGTATTTTTCACTATAAAATCAAATAAAAAATATTAAATGTTGTGGATTACAAGTATCTTTTACGTAAAATATAGAAACTTCAAAGTCAAATGTGACAACTGAGGGAAAATATTTATTTTTGTTCCTGGCCACTCTTTTCAATGTAAATAAACCGGTCCATCTTGTTTGTAGGTCTGTGTAAAAACCTAAATAGTTTTGTTGAGACACCCTGTATATAAAAAATACATGAACACAAAGAATGACGTTTTAAAAATAAAAAGTTTTTTGAAATAAACTGTCAAAAAATACATATGTCAAAATTGTTTCCATGACAACCGTTTTATATGAGTAATAAGGTGTATCTATCTTGTGAGTAATGTGTCTTGAACACAGCGTTGCCATTTTTTTTTTCAACTTAACTTTCGGTCAGAATTTATTACAACAAAATTCTACTTCAAATAACTTCCAAAATCACATTGGTGCACCCTGTATTTTTTCTACATACTTATTGACAACAAAATGTAAATAAATAACAAAATAAAAAACAGACAAAACAAAAATCCAGATCGCAAAAAATCAGCAGTGCACAGGGTGGGCAACGCACGAAAAAAAAAACAGATGTTCGTTGGTAATAAAATCGAGATGATATGCATTAACTTATTAATGTTATCATCTAGCAAATAAATGTGGCAATCGTAAAATTTATGATCCACGGGTATTTTTAGCTGATTAACAAATTTTACCGTGCATTTCGTTTACAGTACGACACAATTTGAAATTGTTTTGTTACCCACCAACGCATCACTTTTTAATACGATATTTTGATCAAAGTACCATTGAAATAAAAGTTAAACCGGGCCTCAATTGTTCAGGAGAAAACAAATTTATTTAGGGCACTAAGTATGGCGTATTAAGATTTTAGGCTTGTACATATAAATAATAAATGACATTGAGATATATTTTTTATAGGTATATACTTTTAAAGTACTTAGATAACTTAGGACTTTGTAAACAACCTCTAAACAAAATAAGCCATACTTTTTTAAATGCATTCAAAATGACATGTAGTGGTTGTTATTTTATAGGTAACTTTATCATTTATTATCTCTAGCATACTTTAAAAATATACTGTGTACCTAGGTAATTTCAAATTAAAGGATTATGTCTGGTTAAAAGGGCTTATTCAATTCATTTTGTATGGATTATTAATGAGGTTTTAAGTGTTCCTAGAACTTGATTAAGTTGGTAACATTGTTTGATTTCAATTAATACCAACTTTTAAATATGAAAATTGGATTGCAGAATAATTAGAACAGCAAATAAAACATAGTCTCGAATTTTGTATTAATATTATATAATGGTATTTAAGTACATACTTTAAATAAATTATACAAATTTATTTATTTCGTTTCATTTATGTTAATATTTGCTGATAACTGTTGTGTTGTTTTTGAAAAAGTTTACTTTTTTCAAAACAAGGCAACATTTTTTAGCCAAAATCAACATAAATTAAATGCAATAGACGGACTTGTATGTAGGTATACCTACTTAATTTTGACAATAATTTTCATTTTCAGTTTCATTTTTTTTTCACCGAAACAAAATATTGTTCAAAACATCGAAAAAAATTTCCTCAGTTTGAGCACTTAATTTTTATTTTAAGTACCTACTTTTGAATTTTTTAAATTTAAAAAACATGTATTTTCAATCACTTTTTTTATTTCTATATCATATTGTGGTTTATTGTTACTTACAGAGTATTTATAAATAAGCGTTATAACGCTTTTTAAAAAATATTTAGAAAATATTAATGGCTTGTCTTAACGAAAACTTTTAAAGGAAAAAGTTGTAGAAAATATGATTTTCTACAAAAAAGTCGTTACATATACAAGGTGTCGCTAAACTTAGTGGCATAAATTTAGGAGCAGATTAAGCAAGTCAAAATAAGACGAAAATCTAAATAAATATTTTTCCTAATTACGTATGTTTAAAAGATACAGGGTGATAAAGTGTTACTTATCATATCAGATAGAAAAAGATTAAGCAAGTAAAAATAAGTCGAAAACCTACATAAATATTTTTCCTAATTACTTATGTTTCCAAGATACAGGGTGATAAAATGTTACTTATCATATCAGTTTTTTAATATAACTTCTACTATGGTAGACTTGGAAAGGTGATATTTTGCGAACAGTCACTTACTACCAAAACACATATTCACACATAATTACAATTGTTCGAGTAAACACAGTGTCGTAGAAACAGGGGTTGCTTAAGCTTATTGTTCCATAAAAACTTTGAGGTTAGGTTTTTATACCATTTGATGCAATTTTTCGATTACTCAGTTCGGCTACTATTAAAAAGGTGTACCTCTCAAACTTCGATAAAATAAACCGTTTCCGAGATATTCGAGATTACAATAATTGTTATATCGCATTAAAGAACTAACAAATTTTTTAATTGAAAAAACTACAATTTTTTTTAATGTGATGGTCAGGGCAAAAAGTCCCGAGGCTCATGGAATGCCCTTTTTAGTTTTTTCAATTAAAAAATTAAATTTGTTATTATATACCTTTTAATCCTTTTAAATAATTCGATATAACAATTATTGTAATCTCGAATATCTCGGAAACGGTTTATTTTACCGAAGTTTGAGAGGTACACCTTTTTAATGTTAGCCGAACTGTGTAATCGAAAAATTGCATCAAATGTTAAAAAAACCTAACCTCAAAGTTTGTATGGGACAATAAGCTTAAAGCAACCCCCGTTTCTACGACACTGTGTTCAGTCAAACAATTGTAATTATGTGTGAATTTGTGTTTTGGTAGTAAGTGACTGTTCGCAAAATATCACCTTTCCAAGACTACCATAGTAGAAGTTATTTAAAAAAACTGATATGATAAGTAACATTTTATCACCCTGTATCTTGGAAACATAAGTAATTAGTAAAAATATTTATGTAGGTTTTCGACTTATTTTTACTTGCTTAATCTTTTCCTAAGTTTATGCCAATAAGTTTAGGGACACCTTGTATATCGCTAAAGTGCACAGTTGACAAGATATGAGCAGTTTAATATTTAAAAATTTGTTTTGTTTAATTTGTTTTAAATTCGATTCTATTAAATATCTTGTAAACTGTGCATTTTAGCGATATAAACCTAAGGGCTTTTATGTGGACAACTAAATTTTCTAAAACTTTTTCCTTTAAAATTTTTCGGTAACACAAGCCATTTTCTTAATATTTTCAAAAATATGTGAAAAAATGTTTTAAACAATATTTCGGTGAAAAAAAGTGGTATTTTTAAATGAACCACACACAAACACACGGTTCAATAAATATATTTATATATTTAAAAAATAAAAATTACAGTAGGTAAGTCCTAAACGCTAAACATGGATAATTTTGTTTGAAGATTGTTTTGCTGGTGCAACCCAGTGCTTAAGCCGCACGTTACGTTATAAATCGTGTGTATTTATGACTAGAACGGTCGCACTGGAGAACTGCCTTAATCGCAGGTGATATACACGTCGGTACGCAGGGGCGTACGCGCGAAAATCGGACGGGGCCCAGCTCATGCCTTACTTTCCGTGCCCTTCAGCCTTAGCCGAGCGAAGTCCTCGAAGATTATGTCGTCGTCGTGGTTTTCCACCGGGTCCAGCTGAATCAAATTCGTGTCTACGGGCACTTCCGTCGAGATCGGTCTAGCGGGCGAGTTGAGGATCTCTTCCTCCGGTTTGGGGTGCATCAGTATGAACGGCAGCTCGGCCACCAGGTCGCCCCCCAGGGGGAAACCCAGGCACAGCTTTACTTTCACCTTGTACTTGACTATGATGCCCAGATTCTCCCGTTGGGCAGGGTCAGCCACCAGGGTGCTTGAGGCGAGGTTCGTGTCTTCGTGCTTCAGCTGGCCGTCCAAAGCCAGCCCCCATTTGTCCTTGTTGTTCGCTAGTAGAGGGGTCAGAGTGAAAACTTTGCTTAAGGAGAAACCTGAACCTATAGGGCACCCCTCCTCGCTCTCAATTTCGGCCACAGTGCACTTGTATTGCGCTGTGGAAAACAGGCAGATATCTGCAAACTGCCTGACGGACACTTTAATTTTTTTGACGGTTCTGTTGGAGTTGTTGGCTATGTGCACGTTGACGGCGATGTTCTCGCCGTGGTGGTACAACTCCTTGTCCAGAGAGGTCTCCAGGTACAGCTTGTTGGGGCTCATCATGAACTCCTTGCTCACCTCGATGGACGGTTGCTCGCCTTGCTTGCTCGGCGCGTACATTATCTTCCTTATGGCCAATCGCACGGAGTTCCTTTTGTGGGGTTTGTCGTCCTGCTGTTCAGCTACAAAGGCTTTCAGCTCGTAGTCCACCCCGCAGGGTTTGCCTGTGTCGCCCGGGGCTGGCTGCAGAGTGACCGAGGCCGGACAGTGTGGTGGCAGCTCGAAGTAGAACGGGAAGGCATTGCAGCCCAACTTTTTAATTAGTCTCTCTTGCAGCCTCGTCAGGGGGCGTTTGCCGTTGCTTGTCACGTTATCCTGCGGGTATATTTGCTCTGCCGCCAGGTACAGGTCTTTCCGGAACGTGAGACCTAAAACGTCCAAATCTTCTCTGCCGTAGCGGAAGGCCGCCAAAACGTGCCCGAATACTTTTCTTTCCTTGACGTAGTCGGGGTCTATGAGCACCACCCCGTCGATGGGGTCTACGTGGTCTACATGATCGACAAAATCTCGCTTACCCAGGTAGACCGTGATCTTCCCGTTGGGGGAGGATTTCTTGAACACCCGCGTCGCCTGCCGCTTGCCGCCGACGTCGTCCATCTCGTCAGCGGCCTGAGCCGCCGTCCTTTGGCCCTCCACTTTGGTTTTTACTCGAAAACGCGACACAAGTTTTCCAGCCGGTCAAACACTTATGCACCCTATCGCGGTTAGTTGCTCAACATCGCGCCAGCCGTGACACACATCTGTTTATGAACATCGAAGACGATTTAAAACAAATGACGTTTCTTCCGATTACACTTTGGGCCGTGGTCGCACCGTTGCCGCTCCGCCCTACACGCGCTGACTCACCAAATGGAAATTCGCTTGGCGAAGCGCCGCCAGCGATTTTAACCGATTTTTCGGCGCTTACGCAAGCCGGCGCGATAAGGATAAGCCGCAGCACGCCGATAACACTTTTATTTGTCGAGATTGCGTTCAATTTTTGTCACATTTCGGAGAGTTTCGAGTACATGTGGCAACAGCGGGTGGCCATCGCTACGATGCGCGGGCATGCGGCGCGTGCGCGTTTACCTCCATTTCGCATGTCTCGTCCAGGGTTGCCAACTCTACCAACTTTTCGGTAGATCTACCAAATTTTATTGTCTACTTCTTTGCAAAAAAATCTATTTTTTTAATTTATTTCCGTGAAAGTGTGTTTTTTTTATACTTTGAACATTTACCGAATTTCATAGCTATGCGTTACTGTAACGCCTTCTATTATCTATAGTATAGATTCTATACCATTTATCAACAAAATTGCTGAGCAACCCACACCTACTAAAGAACATTATAAATTATTCATATATTATATCACGAGAACTATGAATTTAATCGGTTAAACTAGGCTCAGTAGTTTTTTGTTTGGTTTTTCTTGGAAAATGTTGAATGCAAAATAACTTAATAAAATCACGAGACCGCGTATTTTGCGTTATTTTGCATGAAACTATTTTCCAAAAAGAAAAATCAAATAAAAAACTTACTGAGCATAGTTTGACAGATTAAATTTATAGGTTGAGTGATATAGGTACGTCTAGATTATTTCTCGAATTAAAGAAAACTATTTGACAATTCATAAAATCTGACGTATGTGTCAAAATTTATAAATATTTTTTTAAAGAAATTTCCATTAATTTAAGGTATGTAATAGGTAATAATTGATATTTCGTAAACTAGATAACTTATTTTTTATTGTTTTTTAATAAATGTTTGTTAAAACTTGTAAATAACACCTAAAATCGTAAACAAAAATCCAATAAGGAGGCTAAAATTTAATCGCTGTTAAATAGTTCTAGTGATTTAATCGCTTATTTAAACGAAATTTATTCGAAAATTCAAGGCTTTTGATTGGTTCATATTATAATGAGGGAAATAATCCATTAAAATATGTATTCTTTTAAAGAATAGAATAATAAAAAGCTAAACTTTTTTTCTTATATTTTTACCCTTTTTCCATTTTCAAAAAGATGAGCTTTAATTATAAATAATCACTTGGGTTGTATACTATTAAATTACGATATAGTCTACCATATCATAATTTAATAATTCCAGATTATAAATATTTAATTAATTAATTTGAGTAAACAACCCAAGAGCATATTTATAATTTGATAATTATCATAATTTGTTCTTTACGAAGGCGTAGAAGGGACAATTACACAAAATTTATTTTTAATATTTAATTCCGAGTTAGGTAACACAGAATTAATTCCCCCCATTTAATTCTGCGTTAGGTAACACAGAATTAATTCCTTCCTATTTAATTTCGTGTTAGCTAACACAGAATTAATTCCTTCCTATTTAATTCCGTGTTAGCTAACACAGAATTAATTCCTTCCATTTAATTCTGCGTTAGGTAACACAGAATTAATTCCCTCCCCTTTAATTCCGTGTTAACTAACACAGAATTAATTCCCTCCCCTTTAATTCCGCGATAACTAACACAGAATTAATTCCCTCCCCTTTAATTCCGCGTTAACTAACACAGAATTAATTCAATTAATTTTGTGTTACTTAAAACGGAATTAAATGGGGGGGAATTAATTCTGTGTTACCTAACACGGAATTAAATAGGAGGGAATTAATTCTGTGTTAGTTATCGCGGAATTAAAGGGGAGGGAATTAATTCTGTGTTAGTTAACACGGAATTAAAGGGGAGGGAATTAATTCTGTGTTACCTAACGCAGAATTAAATGGAAGGAATTAATTCTGTGTTAGCTAACACGGAATTAAAGGGGAGGGAATTAATTCTGTGTTAGTTAACACGGAATTAAAGGGGAGGGAATTAATTCTGTGTTACCTAACGCAGAATTAAATGGGGGGAATTAATTCTGTGTTACCTAACTCGGAATTAAATATTAAAAATAAATTTTGTGTAATTGTCCCTTCTACGCCTTCGTAGTTCTTACATTTTTTACATTTTTCTATTCTTATTTTGAATATTGGCCATTTGTAATTCTGCTTTTTCATTGATTTTTTTTATGAAAAACTTGAAATATTTTTTATCCATCAGTGACATTTTTACTTACTTACTAGAGTCTCAGAATACTCCAAAAGTATAGGTGGTAGATCTACTCACTTTTCAAAGTAGGCATGGTTTGTTGGAAACTACCAACTTTTAAAATCATATCTACCTCCTAGAAAGATTTTGGGATGGCAACACTGGTCTCGTCACAAATTATCAAAACGGTAAAAGAATACAGAAAATCACGTTTGCAAATCGTTTTAATTAAACTCTATTGTGCGATTGTTTGTTTACCAATATCATTTAATAATTGTACGTATTGTAATCAAATAATTGGAAACCCCGTTCGTACTTTATTAAAGCCATAAAATGGGACTAAAAATTAATTAAAATTAGGTACCTAGTTAATAAAAACGTAAAATTACATTTAAAGCAAAAATAGTATTAAATGAATACTCAATTTTACTAAAATTGATTGATTAATCATTAAATATATCAAATTTACATTTCTATGACAACACAGCATATTAAATTAATGACGGACCAAAATACCGGCAAATAGGTATGAAAATGAGTTCCAAGAAAAACTGTCACTAAAATAATCAAAACATTTAATGACAAACAAATAGCTTTTAAGAATAATAAAACATATTAAAAGAAATCATAATTCTTAAAAATTACCTACAATTTATAAAATTTGTTGATTGCAAGGCCACTTTATAAATAAATATTTACTGGAATTATTAAGATAAAATTTTATCTTGTCCTAATTTCAAAAAACCCATTTTTTCATCTTTTAGCATTAATTGCTAAACAAAATTTTAGGAATTAAATTTATTACCGTTTTTTTTTTGGAATTTGACGTCAAAGATTTTGAAATTTTAATTATTAGTATGTATACAGAGTGGCCAAAGTTATCTGCTCACCATTGCCAATTTTGTTATTATTGGAGCTACAAAGTCAGTTAAATTAGCAAACAACCTGTATATTTTACATATTTTGAAAGACAATTTTATTTGGGATAAAAAATTATTATTGCTTATAACCACCCTAAACCAAATAATAAGGACTTTTTTGTTAAAATAAAGTATCTACCTAATAATTTGGTTATTTAAACAACCTTTTTCTAAAACTTTATAGTTCTTATTAATTATTTATTTTTAAGTTGAGGGTAGTTATGCAATAATAATTTTTTGTTTTAAATAAAGTCTTTTCAAGATATGCATATTTGTATAAAACATTCATTCAATTGTTTTTCTGTTTTCACCATTTAAATTTTAAAAAATGACACCAATTTGCTAATTTAACTGACTTTGTAGCTCCAATAATAATGTAGCAATAGTGAGCAGACAAAATAGGTATAAAAAAAATTGTTAAATTTGGAACTATTTTTTTTAATGTGCCCCTAATTTTTTCATATAACGGCCATTTCAGGCGCGCGAAACGCACTAATTACAAAAAATTGTAGATAATTTATTATAAAATATTTTGGCATCAAAATTGTCAAAAATATTCTTCTTTTATTAGGCTATACTGTATAGCCTATACATTAAATAAAAAAATCGCATGAAATATTTTATAAAAGTAGAAATTATTTTAATAATTAAAAGGTGTGGACAGGACACAAAAAATTGTCAATTATTAAAATTATCTTTACTTTTATAAAAATATAAAATATAGTTAAAATATAAAATATAATTACTTAATCATAAAAGTAATTTATTACCTTTATTAAATACCTATAAATTATATGTCTAATTTTGTTACTTCTTTAAAGCAATTTTTTAATATTGACCAATAAATTTTGTTATTTTGACAGTTGCACCAACATAAGATAATCTGTCAAGATGCAAAACAAAACACAAAGCTTACCAACTTAATATTTTAAAATATAATAAAGTAACTTACCCTGAACAAATAAAGATACACTTTTTTGGTGTCTGGATCTTCTTCATTGCTCATAGCTGTAAACATGTTATCCACATCAACACACATCGCCAAAAGTTTATTTAGTTCTGTTTCCGATTTATCCTTTAAATGTTGAACATGTTGTTCTAAAAAAAACATTGAAATTAACTTATTACTTAAGTTAATATTTATTACATCTTATTTATTTGGCTTATAAAAGACAAGTTTAAGTATTAACAAAAAAAACATTTTTTGAGTTCCTAAAATTGAGGAATATTGCCATAATTTTGGTTCTAACAACAGATTTGGTTTTCAGTAAAAAACTGTTAAATATTACCCATGGTATGTTTGCATTTGCACGGATTGTCTGAATGCATCTCCGTCCTCTTCCATCCCATACATTCGCAACCTTCAACCTAAAAACAAAACACTTTACAAAGCAACAAACACAAAAACAATAATCAACATACCTGGCATTTCGAATAAATAGCCAACTTGGTCCACTTTCTCTCTAGCGGCAACCCCAAGACAGCCTGCTTCTTCTGCTGTATTTTCTGCAAATTATTCAATCGAGACGCGTACTGTTCGGATTTGTTTGGCACTTTTTGACCTGAAGTGCCCGGGCCTTCGCCCGGGTTCTGTATTGTTAAAGTTTCCGGAGCTTTTTCTGCCATTGTTGTCAACAAACTTTTTGTTATTGTTGTTGTTTTGAGTTACGAGTACAAACATACATAACCGCACTTTTACACGGAAGAAGGCATTCTGATCTCGTCGAGGTTTCTGATTGCGAAAATAATTGATTTTGTGAGCGGGTTTTGTTTATTAGAGTTTGTTTTCAAAAAATAAAGTTTTCAGATATTAGCATAGTATGTGACGTTTTAGCAGGGGCACCAACTGAAAGAGTTAACGATGTAAAATAGGTTAAATTATAAAATTATTTAATTATATTATTTAAAAATAACTAACAAAGCGTCTAAAAATGTTAGAAAGCATTAATTTTTTAATAAAAAGCATTATTTTAACATTTGGTTACATAAACTGCTAGTAATAAAAATCCCTAGATAAAAGTGGACAGGGCCGTACTAATTAATTTTAAATAATAAATTGACAACATTTTTTTTAAACATAAATTTAAATAAAGGAAATTTTGGAAAATTATTTAAAATTAGGATTATGTATGGAAAAATACCTACAATAAACTAAAAAGGATTCAACATTTAGGTTTAAATAAAAAAATATATTATAAATTTTTTATTATAATTAAAATATCAAAATAGAAAAATATAAAAACAACAATTTAGAAAATATCAGAAAAATTTAAAAAAATCATATTTTTTTCACGTTTTGCCTGAAGGTACTGAAGGTACTTCCAAAATTTCAGATTCTTCACTTTATTACTAACCTGAGCCCCGACCACTTAAAATAACAGTAAAAATCAGAAAATACAAGAAAAATGCGTATTTTTTTCAAACAAGGATTTTTTTCTACTTTTTTACCCTTCTGAAAGTACTCCCAAAGTTTCAGATTTTTTAATTAATTTTTAAACCAAGCCCAACCACTTAGAATAGTAGATTATGTTATAAGGAGTAGAAGTGACTCTTTTTGTGGTGAGTACTCCAAATAACATATACAATTTTTTTTTCAAGGGCATAATATAAATAGGATAAGCAATAGAATTATTTTTTTACTCATAACTCGTGTGGGATAAAATTTTGCCTAAAAGCATTAGAAATTATTGATAAAAACTAAAAAAACTAATAAACCTTACTTACAATGCCGATAAATATCCGAAATTAAAACTAAACACTGCTCTGTCAAAATGCTGCGCTTGAATTAATTTTGACGTACTGACATTTGTTTGAAGTTTCGACATTGGCGACTCGTCTATCATCATAATATTATACTAATAAACTAGTTTTTCTTTATTTCGTTCAATTAAAATTTAATAAATAATCACTAAATATTCCGTGCGATTATAATTAATATAATTAATACATCGTGATTGCTTTGTATGAAATGCTAAATTAATTTTATTTTTTGACGTTTATTGAGTCACCTATGGATTTACTTCTATCCCTAGGCTTTTTTGAGTTTTTTGTCTGCCGCTAATGAAAAAGACGCACTTCAACTATCTCTATACATGCATATAAGGTTGTATATCATGGCCGCTTGAAAAAAAAAAAAAAAATTCTAAAAAAAAAGTGTTAAAAAACTATATTTTCTTAAACAAACCTGTTTTTTTCTTACTTTTTGACTCTTTTAAATGTACTCCCAATGTTTCAGACTTTTAACTTAATGTTTAACCTGAGTCCAGACCACTTAAAAAAAAGAAAAAAATAAGAAAAAGGTATTAAAAACATAATTTTTTTCTTACTTTTTTACCCTTCTGAAAGTATACTCCCAAAGTCTAAGATTTTCACTTAATTTTAAACCCGAGCCCCGACCACTTTAAAAAAAATAGAAAAAGTAAAGAAAAATACGTATTTTTTCAAATAAGGTGTTTTCTTACTTTTTTACTACCCTTAAGGGTAGTAAAAAAGTAATTTAAAAATTCTGAGTACCTTCAGAATTCTGAAGGTACTCAGAATTTTTAAATTAATTTTTAACCTAAGCCCCAACCACTTAAAAAAATCATATTTTTTTCCAACAAGTTTTTTTTTTACTTTTTGATTCTTCCAAAGGTAGGTACTCCAAAAGTGTCAGATTTTAAATTAATTCTTATCCCAAGCCCCAACCACTTAATAAGGTATGGACATTATAGACCAGGCGGAGAAACCACATATTACTCGGTACCGAGTATACATTTTACTAGAGAGGTGATAAAACCTATAAAATTATTAGTGATCCTATAAAAATCTAAAAAAGAATATTTCACTAATAGTCCATTGTTTTAAACAACAACAAATAAAACAATCGAAAGATAACCAATACTCGATAACAAAACTTATTTACCTATCACAATTCGCAAATTATAAGCTTAAGCTTATCTACTACCTAAAAAACCTTAAAAAACTCCAACCAAACCGTTACAAAAAAAATACAAACACCCACCAACAGATGTCGCCAATAACATCAAAGCAGGCATGGCTTGCACACACTTGTTTTATTTTATTTCAAAGGTACAAGGCAGGTGCGCGCGCATCCAAACCCATCTGTTCGAAGCGCCCGAAAATTCAAACTCAGTCGTATTAAAGCGATGTGAGTGCGTGGTTGTCGCTGAACGGGTCAGACACACGCTACATCACGCGAAACACCGGTTCGTCGCGCGAAACAATTTAATTTCAAAATAAAAAACAAACAAAATGAAGCAAGCGGGTTTTTTTGTCGCTACGTTGGCTGTATTGGTGGTGTTTTGTGAAGTGTCATGCAAAAATGTGAATGTTAATATTAATAGTAGGCCGAGAAGAAGTAGCAATGGATTAAGTCAAAGCTGCGGGAATGTCGAGGAGTTTTTTCAAATTAGGAATATCACCGTCAAAAAACACGAAAACGCTAAAGGTAAGTTGTTAGTTGAAGAGTCATCGTAAACAAAACAAAGTTTTTGACAGTATCAACAAACCACAGAACATAAGAGAATTAAAAGCGCTGTAGTGAAAAGTGGCAACAGGCATTGTTTGATTTTTAAATCTAGCAGGCTTGGAAATCCGAGGTGCCTGTAAGCCATTGGTGGAAATATCCACACGATTTCTGCGGCGCGAATTTTGAATTTTTATTTAAAATATGGAATTATAACCGAAAATTGTTAAAATTTTATATTTTTTTGGGTTTTTAAAGAACCATATAGTTAATATTGTTCTTTAAAAATCAAAAAATATAAAATTTCAACAATTTTCGGTTATTTTCCACTAATTAAGTGGAAAAACACACATTTTTGTTTTTTTTATAAATATATTAAACAAAATATACACTTAATTCAATTTTAAATTAAATTATAACCAACAAATAATATTTAAATGAGAAATTCAAAGTTAATTATTCTATAACTTTTAGTGAAATTTAAAAAAAGGTTTATCAAACATGTATAATAATTTATAATTATTTAGGTATAATTTATCAAAAAGTATGACATTAAATTGATAATTACCCTCTTATATATGCCTACAAGACAATTATCGCTTGATTACAGCGATAATTTTCAGAAATTTTAATTTTGTGTCACATAATAACAATTTTTATAGGTTTTTTAAGATTTCTTAATAAAAATGCAAAGGTTTATAAACAAATTAACTCTAAAACATATTACAAACCATTAAAATATTTGATAAATTCTTGATAAACAATAGTTCAATACTTATTGGTCCTTATTAGAAAACAACCTTTTAAAACAGTTCGAGTATAGTATATAATTAAAATTAGTTTAAATTTCAATATGTAATTCATAAAAATAAATAATTTTGTAATACATATTGACTTATTGTATACCTATAGGTATTTTCAGATTTCTTAATGTAGTATTAAATTTCTTTATTGGAATAAACCAAAAGGCTAATGCCTAAAATGTTTAATGCAATAATTAGACTTATTACAAACCATACTCTAATAATTTTTAGGAATTATGATTATAATTTGTTTTTAAAATAAGCACAATACTGTAGTTTTGTAAAATATAGAATATTTGGCAAAAAGGAATTCCTACTTATCCAAAAATTAAATTATATTCTTTGGAATATTTAATTTTTAGTAAAATTGGTTTAATTTAAATTAATAATCAATATAACCACTTAAATCTCAATGTTAAAAATATTGTTATTATGTATTCAGCAAAATTAAAATCTTTATGTATGATTTAACTTTCTGGTCAATATTAAGTATTAATTGTCTTTTTTCTTGTTCATGATTCATGGATTGAACCTGCGTCTTTTTCTTGATTCAATGAAGAATATTCAACTGCAATTAATATTTTCTATGTTCTTTTGCAAAGAAGTTTGATAAATTCAAGTCCTGTCTGCTTCTTCCATTAACACAAACCCAAACCTGAAATCAATACCAATTTTAAAATCAATTTAAATTGTAATACAATTGATATTACCTAATAATTTTTAAAATTAAATAAAAATAATGTCTCAATATTTATGCTACTTATTTATGCATAAAAATAATTGAATGGTTTATTGTAAAAACAAGCTAAGTAACTAAATAAATATGATTTTGTTTATTTTTTAATTTAAAAATCTTATAAAAACTAATAATGGTGAACTTGTGCTGTTTTAACATGAAAATATCCTTTTTTAATATCATAATGTGTATCTTGCTAAATAAAATATTTCTGCCTCAAAATAATAATTTAAAGCAGAAGTGTATGTAATATAAAAATGTCAGATTGCTTGTTTTAACAATAAACAATTTAATTATATTTGGAGTAAATACTTAAAGTGTACTTTCTTTTACTTTTTTTATATTTGGATTGTAACTATGGATGTGTGAATATTGAATTCAAGAATTATTTGAATAGTTTGAATGTTTCAAATTTTTAAATGGTTCAATTAGAAAATTAAAATTTTCCAATAGTAATTGAAGAAATGAAACATTGGAATTGTAATTTAAAATTTATTTTTAAATAAAAAGAATGTTACTTGTCATTAACCCTTAATTAACTTATTTGAATAGATTATGATTGTAATTATTTAACTATTCAAATAATTCAAACTATTTATGTAGTTTAAATATTTAATTTTAAGTTTGAATTAAATATTACTACATAATTTATTTGGTAAAAATATTCACACACCACCAATTGTAACTAAAAATGTATTCTAAATAAAAAAAAATATATCTACCAATTATTAAAAAAATTTGGTCAAATATTTCTGTTTGGGATTGACAAGTAAAGCTTTCATTCTTTTTCTTCATGCAGGATAAATCTTGTCTAATTGTTCCATTATCGTAGAAGCTAAAATTAATTAAATTAAATTAAAATCAATTTATATTGTAGCAAAAAATAATTAAATTAAAAACTTTAAAAATAATTCTTTAAAAGGTTTGCTTATGAATTGTCTAGTTATTTATGTACATTAAAAATGTCAGACTTTCAGATAGAACGGAGGGGTCAATGCAAGAATTCTTGCACTTAAGTGCCTAAGTCACATTTTCAATTAAATTTACATTGTGGCTTCATCTAAGAGTGTTTCACATAAGGTTTCAGGTGGTATTTTCAAAGTGGCAGAAATATGTGCCCAAGTGCTTTAGTTTGCATTTACTTCAATGGGAGTTTGCCTGGTTTTCAACTTATGTGAAAACTCTTAGATGAAGCCAGAATAACAATTTAATTGAAAATGTGACTTACGACACTTCTTGCATTGACCCCTTCAAATAAAATAACTATAAAAATACTGTAAAAGATTATCACCCTGTAGTTTAAAATGCTATATTTATGTAAAAAAAACATGGAAAGCACAAAACATTTGTAATATAATCAAGTTTTTAACTGTATGCTTACAAGTGTTTAATATGACCTCTTCCAGCTGCAAACATCTTGTAGATACTCGGCAGTTCCAATTTGTGTATTCAGCTTTTACAAATCTTGGGGCTCATAAACGTTATCTTTTATAGAGCCCCAGAGAAAGAAGTCGCACACTGTGAGATCGGTTGAATGTGTTGACCATACATGAAGTGCCAAATTGTTGGGCCCTTTACGTCCGATCCACCGATGAGGGGGCTGTTCGTTCAATAACCTCCGCTCCACCAAATGCCAATGTAGTGGGGCCCTGGACCCAGGTCCAGTTTTCGCGTAGCTACATCAAATAATTTTAACAAAAACATACATTTTGACAAAGATTATAGGTATATTTAACATTTTGTATAACAGCAACTAGTGTCGAGAAAAAAAAACGTTAAAAACTGTTTTGATTGAAAGTTTTGAATCAAAACGCTTTAAAACTATTTAAATTCTATCAAAACTTGCATTAGTTAAACAACCCATAAGCAAAGAGTCTTTACTCTTTGCCATAGGTTCCATTACATAAAAAGAATTTTATTTGTTTTATCGTAACATGTTTTCGGTAAACATAGAGAAAAAAACCGATATGGTTTATCACACGTATTTTCTTATTTTAAACGCGGTAATGATGCTACAACTAACTCAAACTTGACTAAAAACACCTAATAAAATGTTAAAGCCGAAATTAACAAGTTTACTTACCTAAAACAAAGAAAATTTGGATTATAAAACTTCGTACACAACACTTCGACAACACTGTCGGCCATTTGTAATTTCTCAAACCGAACACACAGAACATCAACGAACAAGTTGGAAAAGACCAATCACAACAAAGTAAGAATCACGTGGTTAATAACTGGGGTCTGTCAAAAACAACTTGGGTTTCAACGCACGCTAGATTTATTTTACTGTTGCCTGTTGTCAAATTCCCCTTATACCCCCCTGCAACAAACGTTGAAATAATAATAACAATTGTTTTCTATACGTTGGCATTCCGTGGATCACGTTATCATTTGTTTATTAATTCGGTGCGAAGTGTCAAATGTCAAACATTATTATAATTGAAATAGTGTTACAAAATAACATTGAAATGGTGTTACAAAGTTTAGTCTCGATAAAATTGCCCCCATGGGTCGTTATAATAATAAATAACGTCATTTTTATGTCACCCAAAGTGTTTTTTATTGTATTATATACCTCTGGAGAGGAATGTATAAATCATAAACGGGTCTTTATCGTATTCGCAATAATTCACTATGTAGTGAGGTTTTGTTACCTGAGCGCTAAAAATTCCTGGAAGTGGTTTTATTTTCGTCGAATCTGTTTATTGGAGGCGCTAGCCGATATTTATGAATGGCATTTTGTGAATTTATCGAGATCGTTTTAATTAGATTGTGTGAAAGAATTCCAACGTTATTTGTAATCCTAAAAATCGAAGCTTTGTTAAAAAGCATGTAGCGGTGGGTTTGTGTGTGGCATGAAACAAGTTTTCGAAGGGAACACCTTCGAGAAAAGGATCAAAAGAATTCCTACCAACTCTGTGAGAAAGGTAGATTATGATTCATCAACAATTTCGGGTCTTCCTTTTTGTTTAACGATGACATCTTTTGCATCAAATCTGCATAGCGTTGAGGTTATGTTATGTTTATTATTCATTCGCCGACCCTTTTGTGTTGCAAAATTAGAGGAGGCGGATGAGACAAGTGTTTAAAATTCGAGACACATTCAATTACGTAGACGTGTTTGGATCTAAACATCGTTATGATAAAATAAAGTTTGAGAAATTTAGTTTTTTATATATTATATCTCAAAAATTAAAGAAGTTTAAAAGACTAAATTTGGTGATAAGTTGGTTATAACTTTGTTTAATAACATGTTAAAATTTGAAGTTGTTAGGTTTAAAATTTTTGGTGATATATCTTGTTGAGCACCAAAATGGTTAAAGTGTAATATCTAAAAAACTACTGAAACTAGAATGATCAAATTTGGAAATTATTTTAAAAAATTTTATACTAAAATCATACTAAATTTTCACTATTCTCTCTTTTATGGTTTTCAAGAT